CTCTGGAAGCTGTGTTGTCACACGCTGCCTCTGAAGCCTCTGCTGCGTTAGCTCACGTGCCAGCTAAGGATTGGAAGGATTTCTTCCAATACTTCAAACCAGTTGGTCTCCCAACTGGTTGCCAAGGGGCCCTGTGTATGTGCTGGGTGCCTTCAACCTTTCAGCAGGCACCTCACAACTCTCTCTTAGCCTTCACTTCCTGCTTGCTCAGAGCCTCCACGCCAGCCAGAAATGAGAACTCTTGGAGGTCTTTCCTGGGGATGTGCACAGCCTGGCACGTGCATGTGTCTAGCACTCCAGCAATGCCAGAGTTTTACAAAGCCCTCCGTGGACAGTCTCATCCCCTAGGTTTTCCTTTCAAAGTGTTGGGTTGGCCTCTTGTTTGTCGCAACTGCTATCACTGCCTCAGGCAGCTGCCATGTTAAACAACTGCCACCGATTTTCTGGATCAACAAACCTGGAGATAGAGTTTTCCTGGGAGCCTGAGAGTTCAAGTAGTAACAATTCCCTGGGGATGGAACTTTTGGAGGGCAATAAGCTCTTTCTTTCCCCTCGGGAGGCAGCATGGCTGCTGGTCATCTCTGCTATTGTGCTTCTAAGGCTGCTGCTGTATGATTTTTTCCATATTTTTCAATAGCTATTGGCATTACCATATACAACACAGAGATTTGTACATCCAAATATTTTCCAGATTTTTTTTTTTTTTTTGTGATGGAGTCTCACTCTGTCGCCCAGGTTGGAGTGCGGTGGCACGATCTTGTCTCACTACAACCTCTGCCTCCCCTGGTTCAAGTGATTCTCCTGCCTCAGCCTTCCAAGTACCTGGGATTACAGGTGCGCACCACCATGCCCAGCTAATTTTTTGTATTTTTAGTAAAGACAGGGTTTCACCATGATGGCCAAGCTGGTTTCGAACTCCTGACCTTAAGTGATCCACCCGCCTTGGCCTCCCAAAGTACTAGGATTACAGGCATGAGCCACCACACCCGGCCTCCAGATTTTTTTTTTTTTTTCAAGAGATAGGGTCTTGCTCTGTCACCCAGGCTGAAGTACAGTGACACAATATAGCTCACTGCAGTCTCAACATCCTGGACTCAAGAGATCCTCCCATCTCAGCTCCCAAGTAGCTGGAACTGTAAGTGTGCACCCACCATGCCCAGCTAGTTTATTTTTATAGAGATGAAGTCTCACTCTGTTGCCCAGGCTGGTTTCAAACTCCTGGGCTCCACTGATCCTCCTGCTTCAGCCTCCCAAAATGCTGGGCTTACAGGTGTAAGCCGCCGTGCCGGGCCTCCCGAAACGCTGGGCGTACAGGTGTGAGCCGCCGTGCCCGGTCTCCCGAAGCGCTGGGCGGACAGGTGTGAGCCGCCGTGCCCGGCCTCCAGAAGCGCTGGGCGTACAGGTGTGAGCCGCCGTGCCCGGCCTCCAGAAGCGCTGGGCGTACAGGTGTGAGCCGCCGTGCCCGGCCTCCAGAAGCGCTGGGCGTACAGGTGTGAGCCGCCGTGCCCGGCCTCCAGAAGCGCTGGGCGTACAGGTGTGAGCCGCCGTTACAGGTGTGAGCCACTGTGCCCGGCCTCCAGAAGCACTGGGCGTACAGGTGTGAGCCGCCGTTACAGGTGTGAGCTGCCGTGCCCGGCCTCCAGAGGCGCTGGGCGTACAGGTGTGAGCCGCTGTGCCCAGCCTTCTTTGCAGAGTATTATTATTGGGATTTCCAGGTAGACAATCTTGTATCTGAAAATGACTCTTTGTAAAAATTTAGAGATAATCTTTTTTCCTTTTATATTGTGTTGCCCAGGAGGTTGAGAATAACAGTAAACAATGGCAGACTTCCTGGGTGTTTCCAACTTTCACGTCTCAGTTGTTTCTCAGAGGAGGATGCCCTTGGCTTTTTCTCTCAATAGTATCCATCAGGCTCAGCAGTATCTACTTTTTAGTCATCACTAAAAACTGTTAGTAGGTATACATCTTTTTTTAAAATGGAAACTTGTTAAAAGAGATGAATTATATATTGGTCTGCCAAACGTATTTATTTCTTGAGACAGGGTCTTGCTGTCTCGCCCAGCCTGGAGTGCGGCAATGCAATCATGGCTCATTGCATCGACTTCCTGGCTCCAGTGATCCTTCTGCTCAGCCTCCCGAGTAGCTGGGACCATAGGCATGCGCCACCACGCCTGGCTAATTGTATTTTTGGTAGAGACAGTGTTTTGCCATGTTGCCCAGGCTGCTCTTCAACTCCTGACCTCAAGTGATCCACCTGCCTTGGCCTCCCAAAGTGCTGGGATTACAGGTGTGAGCCCACTGCCAAACTTTATACATTTATTCAACAGACATTTGGTTTACCATGTGCCCAGAACAGTGATAGGCGACCAGGTAAAGATTTAAATAAAACTCACATAATCTCTGCCCTTGAAAGTTTATAGTCCATGTAGGAAAGTTTTAAATACAACTAAATTGTAATTATGTTAAATGTGGTGAATCAAAGTAACACAGGCCGGGGTGGTGGCGTAGGCCTGTAATCCCAATACTATGGGAGGCTGAGGTGGGGGGTCCTTTGATCCCCCTACTGCACTTCAGCTGGGGCGACTGAGCAAGAACCTGTCTCAAAAAAAAAAAAGAAAGAAAGAAAGAAAGAAAAACAGAAAAAAAGAAACACGTGATGCTAAAAAAACTCACAGGACACTGAGATCAACTTTCAACTGAGAAGTGATGGGGAGTGGATGTGAGCTGGGCCAGTCATGGTAAGAGTCTGTGTGGAGGTGCTAGGGAGGGGAGAGGAGCAAGTGTGGAGGTGTGGGGGGCGGGGGGAGAGACAACTGTGGAGGTAGGTGGGGGAGGAGCAGGTGTGGAGGTGCTGGGGGGTTGGAGCAAGTGTGGAGGTGCTGGGGGTTGGAGCAAGTGTGGAGGTGCTGAGGGGGTTGGAGCAAGTGTGGAGGTGCTGGGGGGAGGAGCAGGTGTGGAGGTGCTGGGGGAGGAGGAGCAGGTGTGGGGTGCTGGAGGAGGAGCAAGTGTGGGGGTGCTGGGGAGAGGAGCAGGTGTGGGGGTGCTGGGGAGAGGAGCAGGTGTGGGGGTGCTGGGGGAGCAGGTGTGGGGGTGCTGGGGAGAGGAGCAGGTGTGGGGGTGCTGGGGGAGGAGCAGGTGTGGGGGTGCTGGAGGAGGAGCAAGTGTGGGGGTGCTGGGGGAGGAGGTGTGGGGGTGCTGGGGGAGGAGCAGGTGTGGGGGTGCTGGGGAGAGCAGTTGTGGGGGTGCTGGGGGGAGGAGCAAGTGTGGGGATGCTGGAGGAGGAGGAGCAAGTGTGGGGGTGCTGGGGGGAGGAGGTGTGGGGTGCCGGGGGGAGGAGCAGGTGTAGGGGTCCTGGAGGGAGGAGCAGGTGTGGAGGTGCTGGGGGAGGAGCAGGTGTGGAGGTGCTGGGGGGAGGAGCAGGTGTGGGGGTGCTGGGGAGAGGAGCAGGCGTGGAGGTGCTGGGGGGAGGAGCAGGTGTGGGGGTGCTGGGGAGAGGAGCAGGTGTAGAGGTACTGGGGGAGGAGCAGGTGTGGGGGTGCTGGAGGAGGAGGAGCAGGTGTGGGGGTGCTGGAGGAGCAGGTGTGGGGGTGCTGGGGGAAGAGCAGGTGTGGGGGTGTTGGGGGGAGGAGCAGGTGTGGGGGTGCTGGGGGGAGGAGCAGGTGTGGAGGTGCTGGGGGAGGAGCAGGTGTGGGGGTGCTGGGGGGAGGAGGAGCAGTTGTGGAGGTGCGGGGGTTGGAGCAAGCGTGGAGGTGTTGGGGGAAGGAGCAAATGTGGATGTGCTGGGGGGAGGGGCAAGTGTGGAGGTGCTGGAGCAGGTGAGGTACTTGCAGGGAGGAGCATGCCTGGGGGTGTTGAGTGGCAGTGGGCGGGGCCGTCTGTGGGCTGTTGAGTGGGAGTGGGCGGGGCCGTCTGTGGCACTGGTCAAGGTATGGTGGATAGGGGTCCCAGTGGAAGAAGAAACTCAGCCTTGGGAGCCAGGAAATGCTCTTGGTCTTGAGCAGCGGCACACAGCCGAGTGTGATGTGTCTGAAAGATCCCCTGGCTGTTGCATGGAAAATGGGGCAGGTAGGGGAGAAAGACTGAGAAATGGAGAGGGACGGTGGCTTGGACTGAGGGGACAGAGTTGAGGTGGACACATTCTCCAGTTAGGGCTCAAGGACTTGGTGTCTGCACGTGGGCTGAGGCAGTGGGAGGTGGCTGGTGCTGTCCGGGTCTCAGCTCCAGCACCAAGACAGATGATGGACAGACAGACGGACGAAGGGTGTGCCTTGAGGTCTCCATGTGACACAGAGGATGGGGGTGCAGTGGGATGAACTGGTCCTGAGCTCAGAGAACATCTGTATCAGTGACATACATCTGGAAACCAGGGTATTGATGGTATTAAGAACACCACATAAAAATAAAAAGTGATCAGAACCAAAACCCACATTATGCCAATATTGAGTCTGGTTGGAGGAGAAGACAGTGAAACCTTGGGAAATGGCGGGTAACGTGCAAGGAAAATACAGAGGAAGGCGATACAGAGGCCAAGGAAGGATGGCCCACAATCAAGGAGAAAGGAAGTGCACGGTGTTAAATGCCGAGTGGCTACAAGGAAGAGCACAAGGGCTCCACTCAAGTCGACCCCGACCACCAGTAACGAACGCAACAGGAAGGGACACTCCAGTATCACCCTCAGTGTGTTCCAACGTTCAGGCGTCTCGGCAGCCCCCGCTGCACTTCTCAGCGCCCTGGTTAAAAACACATTTCAAGTCTATTTTTTCTACACGCAATTATCCTTTAGAAGAGCTGTTTTCGACATGCAGAGTATAATGTGCTGGGCAGAGGAGAGTCACACTGAGCTGGGAGCAACAGGAAGGATGTCAGCTGCTCCGATGTAGCTGCTCGGAAAATGCGAGTGGAGACAGCAAATGAAAACAGTGCATGGCGTCTCCTTTCAAATTATCTGACTGCACACTGAACACCTCCCTTCAAAAGACACAGAAAAAACAAATCACGAGTGAGCTAACGTAAAAGTTTTATTGAATAAATACATGCACTGTCATGTGAAATTAGTTGAACAGAAAGGACATTCTCTACTTTTTAACCTGCACCCCCCACCATTGTTCTCTATTTGCAGTGGGGGGTCCAGCTGGAGGTGGAATAAATGCGGCAAACACAGAAGAAAACACACAGCTACACACAGGTCTGCATTTGGCTTAGGTGCCTGAAAAAGAAGGGCCGACCTCTCGATAAAGAATGTCTGTAAAAGGAATTTTTACCATGCAGAATATACTATCATGGTAAATACAGTTACAAGGCTGCTTCTATTTTATTTATTTTTTGAGATGGAGTCTCACTCTGTCGCCCAGGCTGGAGTGCAGTGGCGCGATTTCAGCTCACTGCAACCTCCACCTCCTGGGTTCAAGCGATTCTCCTGCCTCAGCCTCCTGAGTAGTAGCTGGGATTACAGGCGTGCACTCCACCACCACGCCTGGCTAATTTTTGTATTTTTAGTAAAGACGGGGTTTCGTCATGTTGGCCAGGCTGGTCTTGAACTCCTGACCTCAGGTGATCCGCCCACCTTGGCCTCCCAAAGTGTTGGGATTACAGGCGTGAGCCACCAGGCCCAGTCAGCTGCTTCTGTTTTAATCTGAACTTGGAAACACCTTCCTACTTTTTAAGGCACAGGATCAGGATAAGAACCCACACGTACGAGCTAACAGAGCTGCACTTCAAATTTACCAAGTTAATTCATTTTTCCCTTCATTGGCTTGACTCAAGGTAGAAAAGTTAAAATTCCCTTTTCTTAGATAAACTAATTATTTAAAACTGAAAATTAACATTCTGAGAACTCAAGAGTGTCTGACATCACTGGGATCCTGGAGTGCTGAATGTGGCCTCGAGGGTGGCTTCTCCCCTCCACCTCTGGGAGGTACTTCAGTGCCTCAGAATCACCCCCTTTCCTTCTTTCCTTTCTTTCAAAGAGAAAGGAGACGGCTGCTGGAGGCCAAGAACCTCCAGGCACTCAAGGCCCTGGAGACAGCGCTTCCGACTCCACTGCCTCAGGGCAGGCACGGTGCTGCTTAACCTTCCTCTGGGCTTGTACCTTTAATTGTGTCTACTCTGCCTAAGTGCTTAAATAAAGCCTTCCATTAAGCAAAACACACACGGAGCGGGTTACACACAGGACTGCAGAACTCAGATGGATGGGATGTTGGTAAAAATTACTGGCATGCTACAATTTCGATGAGTGCTGCTTCTTTATAGATTACGACAGAAGACTTTCAACAGACCTGATTTTTAAAAAACTTTCAACAAATCTAATACTATGGGAAAGCAACTAGATTTAATGTTATTACCTGTCTTCCATAAATACCATAAATGTTTTGTGTGCATACGCGTACATGTGTGTCTATAAAGGTACTGATATGCTTCCCAAATAATCCTATATACTAACATTGGAAATGGTTTATCAAGAGGCTTTACAGTCAAATGTCATTCAGTAGGAGACAGACTATACTGGTCTTTATGATTACATGAAATATGCTGTGAAGCTACAGACTCATTCTAAGTAAACCCATGGTTCAAAGTAGAAATTATAAATGGAAACAAAATTAAAATCTGTTAGAAGGGAGGGTGGGGAGACAGCCACCGGCCAAGGGTAGGTTACAAATGGAAGCAAAATCGAAATCTGCTAGAAGGGAGGGTGGGCAGACAGCCACTGGCCACCGGCCTCCGTCACAGGCACTTCGGTTTGTTTGGTCACGTGAGTTACCCACAAGTTGTGTAGTTCCATTAAACAAGCTAAGAGCTCCAATTTAAATTACAAAGCTCTATTTTCCTTAATATATTTATACATAGTTTTAAGATGTTCTCATGGCTATGGAAGCCATTTTCAGCATACAGCTTATAATATACACTTAATCGTCTACATATGTGCATCCTTTCTTTACAGACACTGCAACAGAGCCTCACCTCACAGGAGGTCTGGGGGACTCTTAAGTACATAAACATGCTTTTAATAGTCTAAACAGAATAAAAATTGCATAACAATATCCCAATATTAAGGTTAGTCATGGCATAAAGTGAGGCAGCCTGGGAAGTGGCTGCTGAGAACAGCGGGGGCCGGGCTCACAGCTGTGGTGCCCCCAACCCTGGTGGTGGCCAGTGCACATTGGCTTACACGTCCCCCATCCTATGTGTGAGGTCACGCTGGCTGCTCCTGACTATAACGAGATCGAGCTTCCAATTTTTAATGCAATATCCTGTCTACTCATCCCAATTTACCTCACAAGCTTTAAAAGGGCAGCGTGCACCTTCCTTTTTTTATAGGCTGGGAAAACATTGAAAATTAACCGCTCATGACTGACTATTTGACAATAGCTTAATTGCTAACATGGAAAGTCTGTTCTTATAGTCTAGGAAAAGTACAAGGTGTCTGTATACTGTTTCATGAGTAAGTTACAACAGCAATTAAAATAAACATAAGATTTCATTTTTATATAAGAAATTTCAGATTAGTATGATATATGAACCATAATTCTCTTAATATCTTATATTACTCAGTTATAAAACATTTTTCCTCATAAGCCCTTCAACTTCTCAGTAATACATCCTTATATTTATGAAAATGTTAATATTTTGAATACTTTATTTCATCATTCATAATGGGCAGAAACATACTAACATTTAATAATCTTTCAGCTTTTGTTTTTAAAAAGAAACACCACAAAATAGGTCACTGAGAACTTTTTGCCGCAAAGATGAAAATGATTATTTGTCACAAGAATTTCATAAGTTTTAGAAGAAAATATATATATTTCCTTGATCTATTCCTTCTGAATTTAAACCAGCATGTAAAGATTATAAAAAATATAGAGTCTATTTACATAGCATAGTATACCTCAGTGATATATAAACAAGGCCATAGTAAAGCACAGACACATCCGGCCCCTACGGACACAGCTGAGCAGAGTCCACAGACACAAGAGCTACCACCACCCTATTGCACGTTGTAGGAACTGGCGAAACCCTAGAGGAAATCCAACATATAAAATTTAATGCTAATATTGGCCAAATTTGCCTAAAATGTCAACAACTTTATAAAACTATTAAGGTATGTATAACTAAATCCATGAAATTATAAAACTAACATTGGTACGTCTGTGACGGGGTGTTCCGGGCAGAGGCTGAGGAGCTATGCTGAAGAGGACCCGTCCTGCCTGGTGTGGCTATGTCATCACCTGAGGCCTCGTCCCGTCTTCCGTGAGGTCATACCTGAGAAAGACAGTGACAGGAAGGTGGTGACGGACACAGAACCAAGTACGAAAAGCCTGTCAGATACGTGTCGGGTTCCGCCACTGTCTGTGGGGGACACTACCCACCGGGCGGGGAAAGTGTTTTAGCTACGTGCTGGGGTTCTCTGTCTGTAGCAGGGACACTCACCACTGGGTCCAGCCTTTGGCAAGTTCTTCAGATGCCAGAGCAACCAATACCTGTGGGTTTAAAAAAAATAGTAGTTAAAGTAGGCTGGGCTGGGGGCACTGGCTCCCGCCTATAATCCCACCACTTTGGGAGGCCAAGACGGGAGGACTGCTTAAGCCCAAGAGTTTGAGACCAGCCTGGGCAAGACAGTGAAACTTTGTCTCTACTAAAAATAAAAAAAATTTATCTGGGCGTGCTGACATGCACCTTGGTCCCAGCAACTCGGGAGGCTGAGACAGGGATTGCTTGAGCCCAGGATTCGAAACTGCAGTGAGCCATGATCGTGCCACTGGACTTCAGTCTGTGCTTCTAGAGACCCTATCTCTAAATAAATACACAAATACATAAAGTAGGCTAAGGCGATGTCTTTTAGATCTTTTACCACTTCTTCTCATCTCTCTCATCTTCTGTCTTCGTCTAGGAATATGGACTCTCCTATTTTGAAGGCTCTTGTTTTTTTAATCTTTTCTACCCCTGTGAGCACCTGTAAGTTATATGGCTGAGTACATCTAAGAAATCCTTCATGCAACCAGCAGTCTTAAAATTCAGCTATGACAGAATATCAGTGGAGACGACTCACAGGAGCGTTGGCCCACGTGCCCTCCATGGCAGCACAGCTGATGAAATGATGCCTGTGACTCAAATCTCCTCCTCCCTAACTGAACTCTACTTTCATTCTTAAATAACACACCCACATGCCAAAGTTAAATGTGAATATGGACAAAGACTAGAAGAAATTCAGATAAATAAAGCCAATGAATTTCAGAAAAAGAGCAGAGCCGTCAGTTGAGGAGATGGAATTGTAAGAGATTATTTTCCTTCAATGTGATACTTGAACAAAAATTTGAAGACTTAAAAAAAAATCTTCAACTAGAAGTTCATGGTATTAGTATAGTTAATGAATCAATAATCTGAATATGTAAAAACAATTAACTTAAAATATTTTCAGAAAGCACAGATGTTTTATTGACTGTCTTTATAGCCCACGATTTATAAACAAGCACTGACCTCGTAAGTTCACCCTTTCCGCTTGCACAAATATGGTCTCAACACTGCACTGCAGGTAAATGTTCAATTTTACAAATCGCAGGAACTGATCGGGGATTTGTTTGGCACTTACTTTGCCAAGGAGCCCTTTGTCTTTGGACAGGAAACCGCCGCTGTTCTTCACGGCGACGTCGAGTGTTCTCCTCTGCACCTCTGGTAACGAAACACTGAAATCAAAGCTGAAACAGGAAACGAGAGCCTTACTTAACTTTATCCATCATTCTGTTGTATTTTCTCATAACTAAAAATGGCATTTCTGCTCATGAGATCATTCCAAATGTCATGTTTGTTTTTTATTGTAAAACTGAGTTCTTCTACCTAATGTTTTCATCTGGCATTTCAGGAAGACTCAAAAACCAACATTTTTTTTTTGTTTCCCACACATAAAAGAAGGCTCTGGCACCCACAGATGTCTGGGTCCCACAGTCCCTGGCTCACTCATGGGTGGGTGAGGAGCGTCTCTGAACATGTCTGACTCTTCCTGGGGGTTAAAATATGGGATAGTGTTGACAGAACAGCAGTTCCAGAACAGCCCACTCACTCAGGCTTTCCAGCCACCTGTTCAGTCTTCAGGCCCTATTCCCACCCTCTCCAATAAAAAAAGTACGCGCCTGCAGCTTCGCAGGAGGGACAAGGCCTCCAAAGCCCTTGTGATGCTCAGCCAGACGCTGCACTCAGTAGCCTGCAGGGCGTCTCTCCTGGGGGCTGGCGGGTGCCTGCCCCAGGCCACAGTGCTGGAAACCCAGATGGGCAAGTGGAGTCCCCAGATGCTTAAATGCTTCGGATGGATAGGAGCACTCTGCACAACCTCATCAGGGGCTGATGCAGGCCTGCCAGTTTCTGATGTGTGTTTTACATAAATCCACTTGTATGAAAGTACAATGAATGCGGAGGATGTTTAAAGATGCAATGTAAACTGAATTAGCAGATAGCGACACCATACAACTGTATTATTATCATTTCCCAAAACATGGGTGGGTTTCGAAGCACCAGGGGACAATTATGTAAGATACCAAATTGGTACAGATTGGCGGCTCTTTAAGTGGGGGCCAATAACCCCTGGGGGGGTCTCTTGAGACCCTCTAAGGACATTGCCAAATCACCCTGACCACAGAAGCAGACTCCAGCCTCTCAAGCCAGACCACTAAAGAGATGAGCAAAAATGCAGAATAATATTATTCTTTTCATTATTATGTGTTTTATTTTTGGAAATACAGTTGTTTTTTCAATATGTCATACTTTAAGATTGTTGGGGCTTATGTTATTTTAAAACAAAATTAAAAATAGATGTATCCTTAAATTTTCAGTTTTAACTGATAACATAGTTAAGTGTCAACAGACAGAACCCCCAAAATGTCAAATAGAACCCCCAAAATGTCAACAGACAGAACCCCCAAAATGTCAAGATACAATCCCCAAAATGTCAACAGATAGAACGCCCAAAATGTCAACATAACCCTCAAAGTGTCAACAGATATAACCCCCAAAATGTCAACAGATATAACCCCCAAAAATGACTTCTTCAGGGCCATCAATAACTTGATCTTTATTTAACCACTAGTCTCTGTGTCCACAGGGTTATAACTTGAATTTACTATATTTAGAGCTTCTACATAAAGGCCAAAACGCTTATTTGAGACGTATGTTTGCTGAAATTTGGTTTCTGACTGAACTTCTCAACAGCTGATTTATGTGCTTCGGCCATTCAAAGGCACCATTTAGTAGGGCCTTCTTAATCTGCCACTTCAACCAGGCAGTCTATCCGCGGCTGGATAAAATATCGTACCTTTGATCAAACACGGGATTTAACGTTTTCTTTGATACGTGTGTTTTCCTCCTTCCTGACCGCCTCTTGTCTGGTAATAAATACATGCGGACGTAGGGGTCAGAGCCGTCTTCAGAGAAGGCAATGAGGTTTCTTACAAACCAGAGGAGACAAGGTATTAGGATCAAGAAAAAGAGAATTAGCAGCACATTCAGATGTGCTTTATCAAGCTTTTATTACGTGTGTATCTAAAAACTGAGAAGTAACAAGGAACAGAATGTGCGAGGTGCTTTTGCCTCCCCTGATGGCTGCCTGGTGGTGTCTCCCAAACTCCTTTCTTAGTAGCTTTCTCAGCGGCGACTTCGGCCTTCATTTCTCGAGCCCAGAGTTTGGAGGACGTTCTAAGTCCTTGGTCTCTGCTTGTAACAGAGTGATGGCTGTTGTTCCACAATGCTTCTGCCATTTTCTCTCTCTCAGCCAAGCAAGCCAGGCCCCCAGGAGACACCCACAGACCTGCCTGGGCTGCTCGCCTCCACCCCACAATGCCTACTCCTCCAGATGGGGGCTGCTCCTTTGCCAAACGCGGTCAAGTGCCCAGCTGCACGGGCCCCCACATTCTTCGCTTGCTGACTGACCCCAAAGTCTAGTAGGGATTGTTTTGCTAGACTCCTCTCAAACAGTATACCCCACGGTCATTATCTTAGTGGCAAGAATATACGAACTTCTCAAGAGTGATGTATTGAACTCTACAGTTATATCATCTTTCTAAACGGTACTAATTTTAGTTTCCTATGTTTCCAACAGCTACTTATAAGCTCCAAATTTTTATATCGTATTTTAAACCACTAACGGGACAGAGAAAATGGCAATAAAAGGAAAAGAGTTCATAAGCCCACAGTATCATTGCTAACCAAATGCAATTAAAGCAAGTCACCTGACTTTATACTTATTAAAATAATATAACGAACAAGTTAAAATAAATTTTTCCTGATGAGGCCAGTCATGGTGGCTCATGTCTATAATCCCAGTGCTTGGGAGGCCAGGAATTAGAGACCAGCATCTCCACAAAAAAATTAAAAATTAGCCAGGCCCGTGGCTTCCACCTATAGTCCCAGCTACTCAGGAGGCCTGGCCAACATGGTGAGACCCAGTGTCTACTAAAAACACAAGTTAGCTGGACGAGGTGGTGCACGCCTGTAATCCCAACTACCCGGGTGGCTGAGGCAGGAGAATTGCTTGAACCCAGGAAGCAGAAGTTGCAGTAAAATGAGATCGTGCCACTGCACTCCAGCCTGGGGGACAAAGTGAAACTCTGTCTTCAAACACACACACACACACACATATATTCCTCCTGCTCTAGGCTACACATTTGTACAGTACGCTACTGTGCTGAATACTGCAGGCAATTGTGACATATTTATTTTTTTTCTTTTTGAGACAGAGTTTCACTCTTGTTGCCCAGGCTGGAGTGCAATGACGCAATCTTGGCTCATAGCAACCTCTGCCTCCTGGGTTCAAGTAATTCTGCATCAGCCTCCCTAGTAGCTGGGATTACAGGCATGCGCCACCACACCCGGCTAATTTTGTATTTTTAGTAGAGACAGGGTTTTTCCACTTTGGTCAGGCTGGTCTCGAACTCCAGACCTCAGGTGATCCGCCCACCTCAGCCTCCCAAAGTGCTGGGATTACAGGCGTGAGCCACCGCACCAAGCCATATCTGTCTATTTAAATACATAAAACGTACAGTAAAAATATGGTATGATCTTAGCGGACCGTTGTACTTCGGGGACCAAAACGTCATGTGACACAGGCAGTGTTGACACCCTTTATGAGCACCGTCTGTGGAGGTTTAATTGCTTTGTCCTTTCTAAATGAAACATAAATGGATGTTTGATAATCCCAGAGGTGGGTATCTGCATCATCCTATCCAGCATCCACACTCGGCAGCAACGCAGCAGGCGCGTGGTGACCCCAGCCCCCACCTGCAGGCATGCACGACCACGATGAGCTTGTTTCTCTGCGAGCTGTGCCGAATGGTCAGCTGGATCTGCCCCAGTGGAGACTGTCCCAGGGTCGTCCCACTGTGGGAAAAGAGCAGAAAGTTACCAGCTTGCCTGAGACTGGAGAACGTTGTGACTCATTGGTCTACTGTACAAAATAAGATAATTTCTATTCATTTAGACAAAAAGAAGTCAAATTACCCATGAACTTAAATATAATTTGAAACTTCTGGGTACAAGTCAAACAGATGAATATTTTACTTGAGGCCTCAATATAAATTAATTATTCAAAACTGACAGTTGTGGTTTTTTTTTTTTGAGACGGAGTTTTGCTCTTGTTGCCCAGGCTGGAGCGCAGTGGTGTAATCTTGGCTCACTAATCTCCACCTCCTGGGTTCAAGCAATTCTCCTGCCTCAGCCTCCCGAGTAGCTGGGATTACAGGCACCTGCCACCAAGCCCAGCTAATGTTTTGTAATTTTAGTAGAGACAGGGTTTCACCATGTTGGCCAGGCTGGTCTTGAATTCCTGACCTCAGGTGATCCAGCTGCTTCGGCCTCCCAGGCGTGAGCCATAGCATCCAGCCAACTGACAGTTTTTTAGTTAGGGTCCTGAGAACTAAAAATAAAATCCTAAGCCCCCACCCCCCTCCCACATGAGTAGACCCAGGGGACCCCAGAGAAACCTTAAACACTGAGTTCCTGACCACAACAGGACGGGACGTTATTTATACCCACTCCCTTCGCAGCTCAGACGCAACCACTGACTGGCATTAATGCTACAACAGAGATCACAAGGCTGAAGGAACAGACTCTTTGTGGCAATAAGACACCAAACTACAAAGACGACCTGGGGCCATGCCAGGCAAGGCCAACACTTACAGAATCAACTGGGTTCTACCAACCACCAGGCGTCTCTTTCTCCAGCAGCTAAACAAGCACTGGCCTCGAGAGCAGCAGTGTTCAAGCAATCACAGCCTGTCCTGATCCAGAGGCTGACTCACTGACCGCTGCTTCACTGGCACTAACTGCAGCTTTGAATGACGAGCGGCTGACTTCAGAACCTCCTCCTGATGGCCGACCCTGACCACAGACTGCTGCTGGCTGCTCTAGAAAGGCTGGGCACTCTGTGGCATTCCCAGCTCCTCCTGGAACCTGCTGAGGACATGCGCTCCGCACAAAGCTCCTGCCCTACCCTTCCGGAGATGCTTCCGGACTCAGAGAGAGGCTGCACTTCCCAACCTGTCAGGCTGGCCGGCCTGCAGGCTGCAACCCGCTAAGGAATAGTCTCCTTTCTAAACGTGCAGATCTTATGATTCACCAAGTGAGCACCCGAGGTTGAAACCACACAGTGTCCTTAGTACAAGCGTCACCTCTGTGGTCCTTGTTAAGCAGTTTCTAGCCTGTCCTACCCGAATCTGCGTGTCCCATCTCAAAGCCTCATGCAAGTCACGTGCTCTCTTCCCATCTGAGACTGCAGCGCCCTTCCTTCCATTTCTCTCTGCTCAAGGATGGAACACAGACCCCCAAAATGACAACCGGTCTTGTTCAGTGGCCCCTAAGATCATTTCTACTTCCCAAATTGAGCTCCTGAGAAAAAGTCGTTCCTTGTTTAAAATTCTATTTCCTTCTGGAGCAAGAGAGAAGGAATGTTTTCTTCTTTCCAAAATAGTAGACGTGAGAAAGCATGAAAGAAAAAAGTGTGGCTCAGAGGAGGGTGGCTGTGCAAGCCCCACAGTCTGCGTGTGCTTTTTCTAACAGCTCAGAAGCAAACATGCTTCCACCTTTGCCTCCGTTTGTTTTACTATTTTCTTATCACTCGACACACCTCTTATAACTCCACACACGGAGAACTATTTCAAGGGTCAATTTTGTTTCTTCCACCTAGAGGAAAAGGTTAACATCTGAAGCTTGTGATAGCTACAGATGACTTTTTCCTCCTTATCCAAAGAAACCCTTCACACACCTATAAGTCACGGGGCTTAAATAAGGAGCCAACACAGACATCCAAACACAAACCCAAGAGACTGAGCGGCAGCAATGGGATCTGACTGCGTGAGAAGAGCAGGTTCTGTCCTCGCACAACGGGGAAGCCAGGGCTTCTCCGGGCCACAGCGAGGCCTGCAGGCCAGCTCTGCATCTGTCTTCCTGGCAGGAGCCCAGGCACACAGCAGCGTCCCGGCGCTGCCTCCTGTCTTTCCTATTGTGAAACCTATTACTCCATCACGTTTTAATCTTTAAATGACTAAATCCTAGAAAACCGCAGGTTTTATTTCCAAAGTCCAAGACGCAGTGAGCACAACAGCAACACAACCTTTAGTGCTTTCAGTTAACACAAGATGACACCTCCCTCCCCCAAGCACGCCGGCCTCGTGCTCTGCTGCGTTCAACCCACTCCCCCAGGGTGGGCAGCGCGTGCTCTGCTGCTGAGAAACAACATGGCTGCACTTAGTTACTTTTCCAGCTGCCTCAGCCGCTGCCGCAGCTCCTGGGTGGCGATGGGCAGCGAGATGTCCGAGGCGATGCTGGGGGTGGGCTCCTTGGCCGAGATGTGGCCTGGGGAGGCCAGGAGGCTGGAGGAGCTTCTGCCCAGGTCGTGCAGCCCCTGAAGGCCGGCCTCAGGGGGCTGGGCCTTTTCTTCCACACCAGGCTTATCACTGCCCCCAATGACTGGTGTGGATGGAGCTGTGTTGCTGCCGCCAGGGCCTGGAGACCCAGACATATGAGATTTGACGGATGTTTTCCTCCCCTCTTTGGACACAGAGGGCCGTTTGACTTGAGCTGAGTGTTGGTGGTCGGGAGGCCTTTCTCGCTTTTCCAGATGGAGCACCTAGAGGTGGACACAAACACAAACATTAAACTTGGTGACCCTGTAACATCCTAATACTGGAACAGCTTGGGATGTCTTTATCTGCAAACATTTCTTTAAAACTTAGCTCAAACTTTTTTTTTAAAGTAAAGTTTAAGTAACCAAAGTATCACTTCTGTGATACAAACACCACTTTTTCCCCTAGAGATGGGGAGACTCGCTAAGCTGCACAGGCCGGAGTGCCATAGCTGTCCACAGGTGTGACCATTGCGCACTACACCCCAAGCTCCTGGCCTCAAGAGAGCCTCCCGCCGCAGCCTGCTAAGTAGCTGGGGCATCACACCTTCAGGCTCTGGTGGCAGCAACAGGGTGGTGGCAGTGATAAGCTTGGACGGTGTGGAAGGGCAGGCCACCCCCCTGAAGCTGACCCTCTGGTGCCACACAACCTGGGCAGAAGCTCCTCCAGCTTCCCCAGGCCATGTCTCAGGCAAGGAGCCCCCCATGGCACTTCTGTGTATTCCTCTAGTCTCTTCCGTTTGCACATATTTCTATGCAATTGTGGGAAAACGTTTTTACTTCAAGAGCCCAGAGTCGCGTTTCCTCGACAGAAGACCAAATTCCATATTCAATAAAGGTGGTTTCCACCCAGCGTCCCCAGAGGAAGGAAGAAAGTCCGGAACCCTTGCTATCCAGCAAGATTACCCTAAACAACCTGGCATGAGTGCAGGAACAGGGGTACCCGCAGGACCTGGGGTCTCCCAGTTGCTCCTGTGTGAGCACAGGAGCAGGTGGTACCCAAAAGGCCTGCGGTCTCCCAGTTATGTGGTCCCTGGGCTGGCTTGAGCAGAGTCTACACCTTGTAAATCATTCCACTCTGGGGTGACTGTGATAGCTTAAAGATTTTTTCTGGTTTTAGGAAATAACGCTGCAGTGAACATCTTTATGTTCCTGGTCTCCCCACACTTTGTATCACAAAACAAGAGTCAGGTTTCTAGAAGGAAGGCCAAGGAGCCTTCAGATGAATGGCTCCGGGATGCCGCAGCTCCCTCTGGAGAGGTGTGAGACACCCCCAGTCTCTGCCGGGGGCAAGGAGGCTGTTCCCATTGCCCTCTCAACAGAAGTCATTTGTTTTAATTTTCTAAAAAAGCTGGCTCTTCATTTTAATTTGCATTTCCTTGATTCATGAATTTTAGTGTTTCTCCATATGTTTGCCAGTTTTACTTTCAACATTTCCTTAGCTATTTACAAATGAATCACCGTTTATTTTGGACAAAAAGTATTTTTTTCCTGTAAGTTCTACTGTCTCATGGAGTTTTATTAAATTATCTCTTCTGAACAACCTTTGAAAAGTTAGACTCAGGAGAAAACCTTGTTGATACCAACAGTAACACTTTCTGGGCCAAAGGATAACGGTAAGGTTGCTGGGTTCACAGGAAAGTACTGTGAGTAGCCATGGGCCTGCTCAGGCAACCTGGAAATGTGGCCTGTTCTATGGCTAAGTCCTAGCCTTTGTCTTCTCCCCGTAGCCCTCTGATACCCAGCAACAGTGTCTCCTCCCTGCACCGGCGCCCTCCTGTGGCCCAGAGCTGCAGCCGACACAGACCTTTCTTCACCGGCCTCATGCCCGGGGCCCACAGGTATCCCTGCCAGCACCGGCCTCCCCATCCCCTATGGTGTTCACTGCAGGACGACACGATACCCAGAGGGCAATCTTCATCTTGATGGTGCTGTTTGGACCCGAGTTACTGAGCTGGAAGCGCTGGTTCAGGGTCATGTCCTCACTGGTAAGCAGCTGGCTGAGGGGGACCTTCAGGTTCCCCAGGGAACACTGGTGCTGCTCGTCTCTGACCTGCAAAACACAGGGTAGAAACACTGGCGTAACTAGGATCATGTCTGCAGAACCTTTCTACGTTTTCTAAGCTGCTGACCTTTTGTTCTCAGAGATAGGAACTTAGAAAATGTAGAAAGGAGCCAGGTGGGGTGGCTCACACCTGTAATTTCAGCACTTAGGGAGGCTCAGATCACCTGAGGCCAGGGGTTCGAGATCAGCCTGGCCAACATGGCGAAACCCCATCTGTACTAAAAATACAAAAAATTAGTCGGGCGTGGCGGCACGCACCTGTAGTCCCAGCTACTTGGGAGGCTGAGGCATGAGAATCACTTGAACCCGGGAGGAGGAGGCTGCAGTGAGCCGAGATTGCACCACTGCACTCCAGCCTGGGTGACAAAACTGTTTCAAAAACAAACAAACGTAGAAAGGTCCACAGACAATATTAGTCTGTAAGAAAGATATTTTTAAAAACCCAAACATATTTCAGTCATATTCTCTTAAGTAGTGTTTCCATAATGATTAACATGGTACAAAACCTCTCCCGAGAAAGACACAAAACACTGTTAACAAGCAAAAGATCTGCTATTTCCTCATTATAGATCACAATGAGCACAGAAAGAAATGATGTAATAATGACAAATGAGAAAAGCAATAATGACAATAATGACCAATCGGTTAGGAGAACCCTGGGTTAATAGGCAATAGTCTACCTGTCTTTTAACCCCTGGGAAAATGGTGGCAATACACATTCATAATGATATATAAAGTTTCTACTCATGACATTTATGGAGACAATACATTTCAAAGTGCCTTTTAAACCTTCTCTATTCAAAATCCACATTAAAGAAAATTTATAGCATTTGCTTTAAATGCAAGGTAATTTTCCTATTAAAAAAAAAAATAGAGGCGGATTTCACTATGTTGTCCAGGCTGGTCTCAAACTCTTGGCCTCAGTGATCCTCTCATCTCAGCCTCCCAAAGTGCTGAGATTACAGGTGTGAGCCACCATGCCCAGCCTCTTTTTCCTGAATAATAACCCTCCACATTATTTCTGTAACAGGAATTATTCCTGTTAGATGGCTGTAATAGAAAATAATTTAATCAAATAGAGTAAGAACTCTGAAGGTTTCTCAGGCTATACAAAAATGGTCAGAGAAATTAACCCATAGCTACTCAGGAAAACCTAAAAGCTTGATTGCTTGTTTCTTTTTAAACTAAACTATAATCACAAAAGCAATTTTAAATGAAATAACTATGACAATGTTTGTAGAACTTTAAAAGCTATTTTTAAAATCCGAAGTCCAGTAAGCATAGATTATTTTGAGAATATATAAGTGCACTTTATGAAGGAAAAACCAGCTAAACAAAACACAAATCCTTTTGTACAAAACAGAATGTAAAAAAGTATCAGGTTGCTGCAAAATTAATTGCAGTTTCAATGGCAAAAACTGCAATTACTTTTGCACCAACCTAATAAAACGACCAACACAGAATAATGAGACAGGGCCAGGCAAGCCCAGAATGACCAGGTCTCCTAGGCCCAGCTGTTCACACACACCTATCAAGAGAGGTTCAAGATACAAGAAACAAAAACAGAGGCTGAGAAAAAATATAAATTCAGAGATTTAAACACCATGCTCTTCATACCTGATACAAGAAGTAGTCTGAGAATTAGTAAGGTCCCAGAGGACCTGAGCAATGCCACCAACCACCCTGACCTACTGACATTCATGAGACACTCGCCAACACCAGAAAGGCACACAGCCTACAGGTGCATGTGGAGTGTGTCCTAGCACAGGCAGTGCTCTGGGCCATAAAGCTGGTCTCAAACATAAAAGGGCTCATGTCATACAAAGTACGTATTCTGATCACTATGGAATGAAATTGGAATCAATAATAGAAAGATTTAAAAAAAAACCCAAAACATATGGAAACTAAGTAACACACCAAAATAACCCATACATGGGTCAAAGGAAAAAATTGAAAGGGAAATTAAGGAAATAATAATAATCAAAAGGAGACATCAAAAGAAGAGAAAACAAAACCACAAGTCAAAATTTGTGAGATGTAGCTAAAGCAGAATTCAAAGTGAAATTTATTGGAGTAAATGCCTACATAATAAAAACAGAAATGTCTCAGGCTTCTTCTTTAAGAAACTAGAAAAACAGAAGCAAACAAGACCCAAAGTGGGACTGAAATTATAATGATCGTAGTAGAAGTCAATGAAATAGTAAAAGAAAAGCAATAATGACAATTAAATAAAAAATTGGTTCTTTGAGAAAATAAAATCAATAAACATCTTGTAAGACTTATTAGGAAGAAAGAGAAGACAGGCCAGGCACGATGGCTCATGTATGTAATCCCAGCACTTTGGGAGGCCGAGGTGGGTGGGTAGCTTGAGCCCAGGAGTTCGAGACCAGCCTGGGCAATGTGGTGAAACCCCGTCTTTACATACACAAATACACACACACACACCCCCCTCCAAAACACAAACATTAGCTGGGTGTGGTGGCATGCACCTGTAGTCCCAGACACTTGGGAGGCTGAGGCACACATACACACATACCCAAAACACAAAAATGAGCTGGGTGTGGTGGCATGCACCTCTAGTCCCAGCCACTTGGGAGGCTGAGGCGGGAGGACTGCTTGAGCCCAAGAGGTCAAGGCTGCAGTGAGCCATGACTGCACCACTGCACTCCAGCCTGGGTGACAAAGTGAGACCCTGCCTGAAGAAAAAACAAAAAGATTTATTAATAAAGCACCAATAATAAAGACAATGTGATACTGGCATAAAAACAGAAATACAGAACAATGGAACAGAAGGAATTCCAGAAATAGACTCATACATATGGGCAACTGAGTTTCTGGAAAGTTCCTAAGCTAGTAAGTTAGGGTAAATAATAATCTTTTTAACAAAGACTAAACAACTGCACAACTGCTGAACAACTACACGGCCATATATAAGAAAAAGAGGCTGGGCACAGTGGCTTGCAACTGTAATCCCAGCACTTGGGGAAGCTGAAGCGGGAACATCTCTGCTTGAGCCCAGGAGTTTGTGACCAGTCTGGACAACACTGTGAGACTCCCATCTCTACAAAAAACAAAAAAAATTAGCCAGGCATGGTGGTGTCTGACTGTAGTCCCAGCTACTCCGGAGGCCAGGGTGGGCGGATCGCCTGAGCCCAGGAGTTTGAGGCTGCAGTGATCTGTGATTATGCCACTGCACTCCAGTCCGGGTAACAGAGTGAAACTCTGTTCTCAAAAACAAGTAAAGAGGCGGGGTGCAGTGGCTCACGCCTGTGATCCCAGCACGCTGGGAGGCCAAAGCAGGTGGATTACCTGAGGTCAGGAGTTCAAGACCACCCTGGCCAACATGGTGAAACTCCGTCTCCGCTAAAAATACAAAAAATTAGCCAGGCGTGGTGGCACGCACCTGTGATCCCAGCTACTCAGGAGACTGAGGCAAGAGAATCACTTGAACCCAGGAGGCGGAGGTTGCAGTGACCGAGATCGCACCATCGTACTCCAGCCTGGGCAACAGAGTGAGACTTCGTCTCAAAAAGAATGAAAAATTAAAAAAGAAAAACCCCCCAAATGTCTTACAAATTCAGTATTCAGAAGACAAATAACCTAATAAAAAAGACAGGCAAAAAAACTGAATAGACACTTCACCACAGAAAATATACAGACTGTAACCAAACGTAAGAAGGTGCTCAACGTCATTAGTAATGACACTGAGACCACCCGGAAATACTCCCATATACCCACTAACAGCACAGCACCGGATCCGGAAACACTCCCATCTACCCACTAACAGCACAGCACCGGACCCGGAAACACTCCCATCTACCCACTAACAGCATAGCACCGGACCCGGAAACACTCCCATCTACCCACTAAGCACAGCAACGCACCCGGAAACACTCCCATCTACCCACTAACAGCACAGCACCGGACCCGGAAACACTCCCATCTACCCACTAACAGCACAGCACCGGACCCGGAAACACTCCCATCTACCCACTAACAGCACAGCAACGCACCCGGAAACACTCCCATCTACCCACTAACAGCACAGCAACGCACCCGGAAACACTCCCATCTACCCACTAACAGCACAGCACCGGACCCCGAAATACTCCCATCTACCCACTAACAGCACTGGACCCGGAAATACTCCCATCTACCCACTAACAACACAGCACTGGGGAGACATGGGGCCAGCTCGACTCACATGTACTTCGGTGGGAATGTAACGTGGCACAATCTCTTTGGAAAACAATTTGGCAGTTTATTAAGAAGTTAAACATCAACCTGCCAATATGCTCCTGGGCATTTCACCCAATAGAATGAAGGCGTATGTACACACAGTCTTGTATGTGATATTCACAGATTTATCTGTAATAGGTCTAAACTGGAAAGAACCCAATCTTTTATCAATGTCTTATTCATGGGTAAATGGATGAGCAAATTGTGGTATATCCATAAATACTACTCAACATAAAAAAAAGACAAACTGTGGATATATGCAACAACACAGGTAAACCTCAGAATAATTATCACCACAGAGACAACAAGAGTACATACTGTATAATTCTATTTATATAAAATTCTAGAAAATGTGAACAGTAATCTACAGTGACCAAAGGCAGGTCTGTGTTTGCCTGGGGCTGGGGGAGGTCCGGGTTACAGGGAGAACAAGGGAGCTTAGGAGACGGATCTACCGGTTGTCCTGATTGTGGCAATGGATCCCCAGGTGTATACACGGGTCACAACTCGGCAAATTGTACACTTTAAATAGTCAATGATATTTCAACAAATTGGTTAAAAAATGCAAATAAAATACCTCAACTTCAAGGTCCTGGCGCTTGGGATTGTGAATGAAGAAAGTGAAGTTTTCCTCCCACACTGGTTCATTGGTTTTGTATCGAATCTGGAAGAAATATCCAATTAGCTCTGCGACATTTTCTGTGGGAAAGGGCTACTCATTTTATGTGTTTAGAAGCTTAGAATGAAAAATAAAAAGAAAATAAATAAAACAAAAAACTAGAAGCTTAGGTTGACCTTCATTAAATTCCAAGACATGTATTTGCGGGTACACACTATTATATATTGACTGTGGACGTGTTGAAAAGATAACGAGATGGTCTAAAGCATTTAGAGTGTGTCACGAGGCCCCGGCTTGTGTGCCCACAGATAAAGGCTTCGTGTGCGTGGCCTGGCCTCGGTTCTGTAATGACTTCTGAATCCATGTAATAGCGCCTCCGCATTGAGGGGGGTGCTGCACCTGGGCATGTCTCTGACACCGTTAACAGTTCAATGAGTGACGGCCTCTAACTTTGGGTATTTCTTTTTTTTTTTTTTTTTTTTGCGGGGGTTGGGGGACAGAGTCTTGCTCTGTCACCAGGATGGAGTGCAGTGGTGCAATCTCAGCTCACTGCAACCTCTGCCTCCCAGGTTCAAGTGATTTTCCTGCCTCAGCCTCCCAAGTAGCTGGGACTACAGGCACACATCACCATGCCTGGCTAATTTTTTTTTTTGTATTTTAGTACAGACAGGGTTTCACCATGTTGGCCAAGATGGTCTCGATCTCCTGACCTCGTGATCCGCCTGCCTCGGCCTCCCAAAGTGCTGGGATCACAGGCGTGAGCCACTGTGCCCGGGCTAAGTTTTGTATTTTTAGTAGAGATGAGGTTTCACCATATTGGCCAGGCTGGTCTCGAACTCCTGACCTCAAGGGATCTACTCGCCTCAGCCTCCCAAAGTGTTGGGATTACAGGCATGAGCCACCACACCTAGCCGCTAAAGTTATTTTTTAAAATGAACAGTATATTTCTTGCTATTTCAACTAGCTGGTTATCTATCGAATGACTGATTTAAGAAAAAAAGAGATGAAAAGCCCTGGTCTTGATGCCCACACTATCACACAACTGAATGTGTTTGCAACCTGGTATCCCCAGGTGAGACGGCAACACGGACAACACCCGCATGACAGGCACCAATGCTGAGTCTGGGGGCCAGTGCCTTACCTTGCTCTCCTGGGCCGTGTGCCCAACTGACATCTGGACAACAGGATTTGGGTTGCTGCTTATTTTCTTCCCTGACTACCCAAAACAAACAGAAAACAGACAAAATAAATAAACACATTTTGAAATGGGTCTTAACTAAAAATGAAATTACTGGCTTATATAAGTAGTCATTTTTATTTATCTCTGATACTTAAGGGAATATCTGAAACAATTTAATGGGAAAACATATGCTACACACACCCCAAACCATAACTACAAAACTTTCTTTTGCACACAAATTTTAAAGGTTAGGGCCTGGTATTTTTACAGCCAACTACTTTGGAAAACTGAATCTTCTAAAAATTCTTAATGTTAATTAGTTTTCGAAAGTTCTTTTATTTACAAGGATAACAAAAACAAATAAAGTGCAATTAATGGAAACCAAAAACCATGAGGAAAGACAAATGTAAAAGAATGTAAAATTCAGAATATTTCTCTGGTGGGAATAAAAATAGTATAGCGTGTCAGATATATGGTTTTATGTTCTCAACTTAGCGTCTTCTGTTTGAGCATTTTTAAGCTTTCATATATCAAATCTTGCTTACCAGCTGCTAAATAATTTTGACTGGAAGAATAAACATCAGTTTAGAATCATATTAAAATTAAGCAGATACAAATATGAAGAAAAAATTCAGGAACAGGAAAAACGGTAAGAAGTGTACATGAGCACAGAGCTGATAGGAGAAAATAGTGAAACAGCACATACGTTTGACATGAGGTTTATTTATAACTTAGCCCCACAAGAAGATGCAGTTAAATGTCTGTGTTAGTGGAAATTAATTAGAAGGTTACAAAAATGTTTTTGAGTTAAATAATTTTAGAGTCAAACCTCAACACTACAGCAATGTCAGAAACAGGTGTCAAAATCCTATCATTATCGAAAGAAATATTACTAGCTCAAACCTACTGCGATAATCTATTTTCTGGTTCATCTTTCGGATGTGAATTCTGCAAAATGAAATAAGCACTGTTAAAAAAGTTTTCAAGGCTACAGATTACTGTGGCAGAGAATACTAATTTTCCCCCTAAGTTAATTTTCTCCTTTTTCCTTTAATATTAGAATTCCCAAGTTTTAGCTGAGCACAGTCCTCTGTAAATAAAGATTTTGTTGGCGAACCTCCCTCGCAGTCAGGCACGGCCAAGTAACTAACTTCTGGCCTCACAGGAGGCTGTGTCCCCTCCGGCCGGAGCCACAGGTAGCTCATGGCAGACCCCCAGGCCAGAACCCCCTGACTTCAGGGGAGATGAACTACTGCTACTTCTAAGTCAGTTCTATTGTCACAGATACAGAAGCAAAGGCTGCTCCTTAACTAATAATATAAACACTTCATCTCTGAAAAAGTGGTCACCTGTTCCTAGAGATTGACTGCATCTTGTCAATTTTAAAACGGATACTTTTTTCCCCCAACTTTCTAACATCTCTAAAAACAGAATGAATCTTAAATCGATAATATACACCTTTCTGGGGAGGCTGGCAGTAGTGAGAGCTGTCGCTGCCCTAACCAATTTATTTTGCTTCTATTTGCTGTTTATACCTGTCAGTGATATGATAAAACTATTTATCCTAAGCCTAAAATTCTCCAAGTATAAAATAAACACTGTCAAAACTTAACGGCATTTAAAATCTTAGTGGTTCATAAAAGAATGATGTATCTTAAAATGGATGATGTTTTCAATTCTATGAAATAAGGTTAAATCATTAAGTTTTCTACTACAGTGCAATATTCAAAATACATCAGCACAAGTCAAAGGGACAAAGTATAATAAAAATATAAGGGTTAAGTCAGACTGTCTTGAACTTAAACCTCAAATCTATTTATCACTTGATTATTGAGACCTAAATACTGCATCTATCTGAACCTCAGTTTGCATGTTTACACAATGGGCATTTTTTGGAATCTAAATTAGCTGATTTAATAACATATCAATTATAATATAATTATCCTAGCTACACTGGGTGCTTTCGTATGTATTATTTTATTTAATGTATTCAACAATTCCATGAAGAGGATACTACTCCTTCTATCCTACGAATAACACAACAGAGTGGATGAAGTGTCCTGTTGGAGGTCACACTGCTTGCTGAGTAGTTGGGGTACAATTTAAATACAGTCTGATTTCAGGGCCTTCAGCCTTAACGTTATGTTCTCAGGTAGCAAAGAAGAGTCTTGATGTAATTCCTTCCAATGTTCTGGAGGGCGCAGTTGTTTCAACTACTGTGCTAACTAGTACTCCACAGGAGGAACCTCCAGTAACCCACACCTTATCTCCCTGGAGCAGGACAAAGTGAGGGTTCGCAAACACCACACTATAAAGCAGACTCTGCCAGTCTCCTGCACTTTTGAAATCTAACTCATTTTTTCCAGATGAGACTGGATAAAAACAGTTCCTGTTTCTTTAGGACAGACAGAATTTTCTTTAAATAATTACATTTAAAATTCTCCACGTCCTCCCAAAATTAAAGCCTAAAATGTTCAAAGAAATTAAAGAAAAAAAAATAAAACATTAAGTCCTAAGAAAACTTTTTAACAATTTGCCAGAGAACACACATGGATGTCATATTTTAGGGAGTGGAGCTTAGTTTTCAATAGACCTCATTTAATGAAATTGAAAGCTTCTCAAAAGATCTATCACCCAAACCCAGCAGCACCAAAAGCCATGACGTTGGTGACTCAGAGACGACCCTAACTCAACATATTGGAAGAGGTGATATTAAAATGCATATTCACAGTTCACAAGGCATACCTTTAAGTCATGATTTAAACATCAATTAAGATTTTAAGTAGAACTTCTATATCACAATTTTCACAAATTCGAATCCAATTAAAATAGATATTTAAATCACCTTAGAGTTGCCTAAGGCCAACAGGAAAATAATCTAATTTGTCATACAGTACTTTATAAAATTTACCTTCAAAGCTGACTTAAATTAGTTCTAACTACTAATTATTGGATAACAAAAGTAAGGTCTCTTCCACTAGACAATTAGTTACTATATAAATATGGGAGGTAATTTGCCAATAAACTTATGAGACAAAGTATCATCTCTTTCAATATGTTTTCATTAACTCTGTGACCTGAAGGGAAAACAGTTTACCTTTAAAGCTCTCTGAACTGCGGTCTTCTTCAAGACATCAGGGTTAAATTCTAATGGGTTACTCTTTCAAGTCAGAAGAAAACGAATATGCCAAGGGTTAATAAAACATGCAATGAAGTTTATGTAAGGTTAAAGACATGAGAATTTATGGGAATAAACAACAAAAATCTTTAAACAAAACCACTAGAATTACACAAACAACCAAACGCCATCTATAAAATTCCTTATGCCCAAGACTTTATCTTAGAATGAACCTTTAATCCATGAATATTAAAAGACAGCTCCTTATCCCCTACGACTAATATTCTTTTACTACACCCACCCTCTTGATTCTTTGTGATTTCAAAAATACAAGAGTGGGACTTTAGGAAAGGGTTCTATTTACTATTCTCTGCTGAATAAACCCCTAAAATGCCAATCATAATGAAAGGTTTTATTTGAAGCACAATCAATGGGCCACAGCCACCCAAGTCACTCTCAGGCCAGGTCAGGTCCTGGAACAGCTGCTGAGATGCAGCTTCCCAGCCACGCCCAGCAGAGGAGCTACTCCTCTCTGCTCCTTGTCCTTTTCAGGGGTAGAAGTCAGGCTGGCTGCATCCCCACAGAAGCTTCTTGGGCTCTAAATATAGTCCTATGATTATGGGTTTTATGTTTACTTTTATTGATTTTTTTTTCCAATTTGTTAGTTTCTTGCCCTCAAAAGGACAAGACTGAGTTGTTTTGCAAGCTCCTTCTAGGACTAGTATTCAAGATTAAAGAATTTATCATTTTAGTTGTAATTAACTTCAAACTTGTGACAAGCTGAACTGAATGTTTATTTTATTTTTTTTTTTTGCTAAGTAAAAGATTTTATAATGAAGAAAGATGAATAACTAGCCTCTCAATCTTCCATGACTGGCAGGCTGGGCCAGGAGAGAAGATGGAACATGTGGCCAGGCAGGAATTTACATGACCCTAAAGCTGCTGGTGGAGCTCTCAAAAGTCCCTGGATCTACTGTGTCCATATCTGGGTGGAGCCTGGACAAGCGCATCCTTCACACACTTCCCAGGGGCTCATACACAATGAGGATGGGAACTCTGCTGCCCAGAAGGACTCACATTCTTCAGATATACTACAAACCCTTCCTGAAGCTCACTTTTGGATAGATATGGCCTGTACCAAAGACACTTATTATTCTAACATGCATCAAGTAAAGTAAAACAAGGAGAGAGGCTGTGGCGTGTAGGTAGGGGTTGCAGGAGAAGCTGTGTAAGGTGGTGGACAGCTGTGTGGCTCTGGGGATGAGGCAGACTAGATCACGCAAGTGCTTCAGGCAGGTGCCCTCTCGGGAGGCCTCTGGAGTTACCCATCTTGCAGCCATGGGCCACTCACCATCAGGAAGCAGTGGGAGCCACCTGTGTTTTTTGTTTTGTTATTTATTTATTTATTTTTTTAAGATGGAGTCTTGCTCTGTCACCAGGCTGGAGTGCAGTGGCGCCATCTTGGCTCACTGCAACCTCCACCTCCCGGGTTCAAGCGATTCTCCTGCCTCAGCCTCCCGAGTGGCTGGAACTACAGGTGTGCACCACCACACCCGGATAATTTTTTGTATTTTTTTATTTTTTTTTTAGTAGAGATGGGGTTTCACCATGTTGGCCAGGATGGTCTTAATCTCCTGACCTCGTGATCCACCCACCTCAGCCTCCCAAAGTGCTGGGATTACAGGTGTGAGCCACCATGCCCAGCCTTTTTTTTTTTTTTTTTTTTTAAATGACAGCCAAAATAACTTGCACAAAGCTCCTAACATCATTAGGCCTGGGGCCTCCACAGTGGTGGCTATTATCCAGCTAGCACTGTTATGTTTAAGGCATCAGTGCAAATACCACTCATCTCAGATGAATTCCATATACAGACTGATGAATCTATAAACTTAATAAAGTGACAATAAATGCACTTTGCGCTAGGGTGGAGTGGACAGGAGGCGCCAAGCACCCAAACTCTGGGCCCACGTTGAGTTCCAATCCCAGCTCTGCCACGCACTGACCCCGTACCTGGGAATCTCTAGTCTGTGTCATCTGGGTTCTTGGTGTCTTAATTTCCTTATCTGTAAAGTGATAATGAGGGTCTGGGGATTAAACATGTAGCACCCTGGGACCCCTGCCTGGCTCCTGGAAAGTGCTCAGTAAGTATGCTGTCATATCAGGCTTAAGATGCCAAAGCTGGCCACCATAAGTCAGAGAAAGTCCTTCTTGTTCAAGCCTAAAATTAAAACCCAGGATTTCATCAAAAGAAGGAGGGCAAAGAGTCCACACTATGAAGAGGTCGTTTCCAGCCTGGGAGAAATTCCTGTTGTCCTAAGTTTGCAGATGGGGATCACTGGTGGTAATGCACTCCTGGAAGTGGGATTCAAGGTGCTTTTGAGCAGGTAGGAAGTGAGACAGCACTGGGTTGGTAGCCATCAAAGCCTTCACCAGTGACAGCAAGGGTCTCAGCCCTCTGGGGAAAACTGGGGAAGCACTGATCTGGCTTCATGTTGAAACCCAATGGGTGGAGAAAAAGTTCAAATTTGTTTTACAGAACATCTTAGGTGATGCATATGTTCTAATAAGGAAGTACACTGTGCAACTTGGATAATGCTGCAGGAAAGCTGATTTTGGTAACCCTCCTGATACGAGGTCAGAGGTATTTCCTTTCTGCAAAAGGAAGCGGTTGCAGAATGGGAAAAAGCAACTTGGAAAAGCTATTGGAGATAAACTAACAGTTTACACAGTGGAGCTATCTTGTCATGTTTATACTAGTCTATGATGAAATTTTCTGCTATCACCAGAAGCAAAAAATTATTTTCTTAAAAGTAACAGAATATGCTATTATGTACCGCTGACCTCATTTTGACTTTAAAAAGGCCTTAGACATATACGAGTAGACAGCCAGAGAGACCACATGGTTACCATTTACTATTGGTGTGACTCTGAACAGCTTACCTAACCCTTCAGGGTCTTGATTTTCCTCATCTGTAAGATAGGGCAAAATACCTGTTCTTCCAATGAGAAGACTTGGACACGGGGCAGGGAACATCACATACTGGGGGCTGTCAGGGGGTGGGGGGCTGGGGTAGGGATAGCATCAGGAGAAATACCTAATGTAAATGATGAGTTGTAAACCAACATGGCACATGTATACCTATGAATTGAACCTGCACGTTGCGCACACGTACCCTAGAATTTAAAAGTAAAATTTAAATAAATAAATAAACAAAATACCTGCTCTTCAAGTTTTGCCCCTTACTCTCCCCCTACTTTAAAAAATAAGAATAGGCCGGGCGCGGTGGCTCATGCCTGCAATCCCAGCACCCTGGGAGGCCAAGGCGGGTGGATCACGAGGTCAGGAGATCGAGACTATCCTGGCTAACACAGTGAAACACTGTCTCTACTAAAAATACAAAAAATTAGTCAGGCATGGTGGTGGGCGCCTGTAGTCCCAGCTACTCGGGAGACTGAGGCAGGAGAATGGCGTGAACCTGGGAGGCGGAGCCTTGCAGTGAGCCGAGATTGCGCCACTGCACTCCAGTCTGGGCAACAGAGCGAGACTCCATCTCAAAAAAAAAAAAAAAAAAAAAAAAAGAAAGAATAAACTGAGAATGCATAGGGAAATCCTTTGGAAATAGAAATGAAAACTCTACAAAAATGCAAAGCGCTATCAATACTCTATTAAAGGACAACTGGGCTGTAAGAATCTCACTGTCGATTGGATGAAGTCTGACCTTCTAGGCTAATGACTAAGACGCTGTGGCCCCCTGTGGCTCTGAAGCAGGTGAAAACGGCTCTCTACTGAAAACACAGAGAACAGAACAGGAATCCAGACATACAGACCACAGGCAACATATAATGAGATGGGAACAAAGATACACTTAATTATCCACTCCGGGAAGTTCTTTATGTGTCTTAAAAGAAAGTGAATCACAAACTTAATATAGTTTTCTCCTCCCTTAGGAGCTCTGGGTAAACCATGTGAGTGAAGGCAAATTTTTATTTAAAAAATGGGTGAATTTCTATCTTCACGTGACCATCCCCAAGTGAACTGAGAGTTGATTACACAGCAGGGTTTTCAAAGAAGGCCCTAGTTCCGACTCTTGCGTGTTTGATCAGGAAGGGATAGCAGGCCAGGCATGGTGGCTCACACTTGTAATCCCAGCACTTTGAGAGGCTGAGGCGGGTAGATTGCCTGAGGTCATGAGTTGGAGAATAGCCTGGCCAATATGGTGAAACCCCGTCTCTACTAAAAATACAAAAATTAGCCAGGTGTGGTGGTTCGTGCCTGTAATCCCAGTTACTTGGAGTCTGAGGCAGGAGAATCACTTGAACCTGAGAGGTGGAGGTTGCAGTGAGCCGAGACTGCGCCACTGCACTCCAGCCTGGGCAAGAAGAGCAAAACTTCATCTCAAAAAAAAAAAAAGGAGGGGACAGTAGATTTTAAAACAGTTTTGTGAAAGTTTACCAAAAAATTTACATCTCACATTGAGATGAACCACAAGAAAATGAATTTTAATCATTATGGCTTCATTTCTTCCTCAGGAGAGGTTTTTTTTTAACGAGCCAGCAGCAGCTGAGGAATGGAGGACCGCTTCTCTACTTGCCACGGTTGTTCATCTCATGGTCAGATGTTCTCTCCAATGTTACAACAGTGTTACAGTTCATAAAACAAGCACAAAATAAATAAATACACAATAATTAAAATCATGCAAGAAAATAAAAGCATGCGACATCAGTCCACCGCCAGCCAACTGCGTTAGAAGTTCCAGTCCACATTCTGGCAGTTTCCAAACAGACAAAGGAAGAAAGAACCCCGGAGGACTCACAAATAGTGCTCTATAGACTGAGGCGGTATTTTCACAAAACACTAGTCCCGACGCTCGCCTCTCTTTTAAGTAGCCACACCCAAAGTTTCCCTCGTAGATGCTCTTAGGGCAGTGGAGCCAGGGGAGAAAGCAGAGAATGGTGGATTGTAGTCAATGAGAGCACCAGGAGCACCACAGACAGTGCAGAGGCAGAGCCAAAGAACCCCACAGCTCGCGGGACGCCCCTTAATCCAGCGCTGGGCACGCCACGGCTCTGCAAAGATCCTTTGCCTCTGACGGCCACAGCACATTCCATGCACAAAGTGCCCTTTTAACAGAAGATCAATACATTCTCTTTGGGTTGTTTTTGTTTTGTTTTGTTTTTTTGCTTATGTGACATTATTCAAATTTCAATTTAATGTGACAAAACGCACAGTTCTAAAGAGGCCTAATCCTTTGTAGCCAATTCACTGATGCTATTCTCTCTACCCTAACATAGAAACACTTCCACCAGGCATTACGGAAGCCTTTACAACAAACATTACCATGGCTAAAAGCAACAATTCTACTGTATAGAAATTCTGTGGAAAGATTAAATACGTAATGAAATAACTTTTTCCAAATTGAAATCGTAACAGATAAAGTCACAGACTTTAGACTGGAAGACTGATCAAATACCAAGGTAAATACTTTAAGAGAAATATAAGAATTCTTTTAGGAAGTTAAAATCGGTCAAGAAAGCTTCATTGAAATAAACAGTGCAATTATATACAATTACATACAACAAAGAGTACAATCACATCACATCCTCCCAGTATGAAATATAAGTGATCAATCATATCTTAATTGTACATCATTTTAAATAAAATGCACTGGTGCACAAATATTTACTTCATTTCTGTGCAAAGCTCAAGGAAATGCACAGTTCTCAGAACGTGGAAGGTGCTGGAGGAAGCCAAGGGTGTGCATCTCGTGAACTATGGAGTGTAGTCTGACCATGGCAAGGCAAGACTACAGGGGACTGAAAGGCTGATAACTTAGGTCCAGGGTGTGTGTTGAGAAGGGAGTTAAACGCTTCTTTGCCTTCTTGTCTATCTCCCTGTAAACACTGACAAAGGGAGACAAGACACAGGAAGACAATTTATGTACAAATGCACTTGGGGGATGAGTATTTACTGTAGAGAGGCATTATGCAATAGACAACTTGGGGAGGAAAGAAACTTCTGCACCGGGTGGCAACAGTCTTTCTTCCAACAAAAGTGGCTGTGGACATGATGAAATAAAGACTGAGTGCCTACTCAACAAGTGTATGGGCACTCCAAAATCATCAAACAGGATGACATGACTAAGGACCACACCACTATCCTCACTAGCAGGGTTGAAGGTAGGATGACGGGAGAACACACTATACCTCACAAGATTGAATTAGTAAGATCTTCCTTCTCCGTGGTTACAGTTATTACCTATAAAATGATATTTTACAGTTTTTCTCCACGAATGAACAATTCTGATACAAACAAAAGTATATGCTTCTAGGCAGAGTGTCTTGTATCTGGCAGTAGGTCATTCCGAGACATGGCTTCCTTTTGTTCTGCAAGAAACATCCCAGGCACCCAGAGGCCGGCTCGCTCGTACAGCAGCACCGTTCTGCCACCTAATGTTTACCCCAGGGATTGCCAAGGCCCAGCAGCTCACGCACGGCCCTGCGACAGCCAGGATGAGTCTGGATTTTGTAATCAGAGCTGCTTCATTTTATTCCCATTCCAAATAGAGACAATTTCCATCCTAAGGCAACCAAGTTTTAATACTTAGTGATTTTCTAAGGAGTTATCTTCTCCTCTTAACCACTATTCATCTTCTTTTCCTATATACTGGATAAATCCAGCTAAATGTATAAACAGAAATGTATGTACTCCCAGAGCAAACACTAACTTCTCCCTCTCCACTGCCACTCTCCTGCACTTGGATGTGAAGTGAAAACACACGACGAGAACAGGTGACACAGAGTGCTGCCAAAGCAGTGGTTACGAGCAAGAGCAGTTGCTGGGAAATAAGCACCCAAAGGTGTTACCACTGTGTTACCTACCGGAAGGTTCCTTGCTGAATCCAAGTACAAGATCAGCAATGCAGAAGAAAGACCATCGTTGGCTTGGTCTTTGTCAGCTCTGATGTCTGTTAGCACCTAAAACGATAGGAAAAAAGCCTTAGCAGCCATGTTTCCACAGGATTAGAGACCGTTTCTGTCTGATTGTATCATGTTGATTACGCTAAAAATAAGAAAGGTGAGAAACCATCCAATCCATGCAATAGAGACAGAACTAAAACAATAAATACCTTTTAAATAAAAGACTATTATTCCATATATAAGTCAATTAAATGAAGCACTCAGGTGATTTCTGGCTCTACAAATCCCTGCACTTTAACAAGCACAAAACCGAAGATCTGATAAAACAGGCATGAATGACCTATACATTTCATTTCTAAAATTCCATTATCTTTAATTTATCCCTGATACTATTGTACTGACTTAATACACAATAAGGAAAATTACTGCTATAACTGCTAAAAAAATCAAGTAGCAACACAACTGAAAGAGACTGATCTCAGTTATGAGGAGTAGTTGGTTAGGTAGTTTTCAAGAGAACACACTCCACAGCACCTTATCGAGGTTTGATGCATTTGGCATTAACGTGAGCCACTCCAGTCTCAAGTGTAGCTTCCCCTTGGGAACCTCGTCCAGAGTGAACCACTGAAGAGAAAAAATGTTTATGTTCAGCAAAAGTTCTGAATCAAAAATCCAAATTAAACTCAGTCTCTACAAATGTTCCATGCTGCTCACTAACCGTGAGGCATCCACAGTTCTCAGTAACATGAAGGCTGAGCCTCACCATATCCAGCTCTACGCTGTGGGTGCCAGTGACTGCACGTTTGGAGGTGATGACAGCAGCAGGGGTGAGCAGACCATTCTAAGTGCTTTACACGCACCAACCCCTCGACCCCAACGGAAACCCTAAGCAAGTACTAGTATCATTCCTAGTTTACACATAAGAATTCAAATGTTTTCCAGCACTATCTAGAGATAGTAAAGTCTTGTATGAATAGACTTCTTTTTTTTGAGATGGGGTCTTGCTATGTTGCCCAGGCTGGGCTCAAGTGATCCTCCTGCCTCAGCCTCCCCCACAGCTGGGACCACAGGCCTACGCCTGTGTCTGCAGGCAAGCATGCTCCACCAATGGCATTTAATGGAATGTACAGGACAAGAGATAATACAACATTGATTCCAAATACTGAATTTCAGTATCAAACGATTTAATCCACTTGTTCTAATTCATCACTCTATACTAATAAAATAGTATACTCTTGTATCAGCTTAAAAGTCACAAAATAATTAATCAAAGATGCTCCTCAAACGCTAAGTGATAGACGCCATGAGCAGGACTATCCATCCAGTGCCTGGCACACTCAGGAAAACAAGATGTCATGGCCAATGAATGCTGAACACTCAAGGCAGGGAAACGTGTGATTATGAAAGCAGCAGAATTTAACATTTTTGTTTAATTTTTCGTCACTTATCTAAATCTTACCCATCTTTTAGAAGCCACCACAAATGTTTTCTTTTTGATTCTTTTTATTCTGATAGCAATAAAATGGTGGAAATCGAGTCTCCTTGCCATGAATTCCCACTGTCTCTACAGGCATCTCTCACAAGAGACGCCTCACTGGCCGCACTGTGCCTTCTCCAACCACCTGAAAATCTCCATCACTAGGGGGCATCTTGCACATCCCTGCCCTTACTCCTGCAGGGAATTGCTTGTTTGTCTGCAATAACGTCAGTTTATGCTTCATATCCGTAAGGATTCCCAGCATATGGTAGGTACTCAACACGCACCTGAATGGACTCTTAAATTTCTTTCTTTCATTTGGTATTTCTAAAAGGCCTAAATTCTTAGTATTTGTGACGTAAATGCCGTTCATGTCATACTAATTAGGATTCCTGCACTGTGTGATGGTGAAGGGGTGGTTCGTGGCCGCTCCGGCACAGGACAGGGACTCAGTCAACAACTGTCAATAAACCAACACTCCAGGGAAACTTACTTCATCTAAAAGGCGCTCCTTTTCAACTTCAATGAGATCAATCATAAGACTATAAAAATAACAATACGACAACTTTAGAACATAGAAACACATTTCTTACGGAAACAACTTTAGAACATAGAAACACATTTCTTCCTGAAACAACCTTAAGCATTTGTCTATGAACAAGCACTCCAGAAATGCAACAAAACGCTAATAATTTATCAAGGAACAGACTATTCTTCCACAAGCTTCCTCCAGCTCACCCCCAGTGTCAGGAGAGTAAGAGTGAGGTGGAGTTTCTGTGAGCTCAGAATACTGAGTTTGACCCAGCTGAGATTAGAGTTGTAAAACAAAAACACAAACAACTCATCTTCCCTACAATGTTATATGCATCAAAAAATGTTAAAAGCATCTCAACCCTCTTATTTTATACATCCTCTCGGTAGGGTTGTGTGTTACTGTGGATTCCTCACTTGCACAGTGAACGCTAACCTCACCTTCCCCTACCCTTGCTTCAGGCTCTAGACCCACGTTGCACCGAGCCCAGTGGACGCCCTTGCATCGAGCCCGATGGACGCCCTCACTCGGTGCGTCCGAGAGGAGGCCCATTCCAGTTCCCCTAAACCTCCTGTACTTCCAAGATTGGCACCACCCGAGGATGCCAGATACAACTAGATGGCACCTGATCTATCCCTGTCCGGCTTAAAATCTCTCAACTGTTCCTAGTTGTCCTAGGAAGTCTTATGAACTCTGAAGTCAGGCCATAACATGCAAGGCCATTCTTCATAAGGTATGAACCTCTCCAATGTATTCTATCCTGCATCTTTGTTGCCACAATTAATTCAGTCAAATAGTAACTTAATTAGGTTAAATTAGAAATAATTGATATTATTAACAAATGGTGGTCAAACAACCATTTTAAAAGTTTATTTTTAAAGCTATACTAGTTGTTCAATTGAAGTGAACAAATCAATATTTATTTTCCCAATGTGAATTACTATATCCTGAAAAAATTAATCCAGCAACTCAAAAAACTTAAAAAACCCATTTTTGCAATCTGGAAGAGAACTCTCCACTAGAACTCAGCACGGGGGAGGTTCTGCACGTAGCTATTAAGCCTTGTAAAGAAAGACAGTGCCCCTCAGAAAGAGTTTTTAATTTATTTAACTTTAATTAACTTAAGGCTAGTGGCTGCTATAATGGACAGCACAGATCTAGCAGATTCACTTCTCTTAAATGTGAAACTTTTAGGAATCAAAATGTTTTAAGAAATCCAAGGTGAAACAATTGTTGTATCTAAGAACCATTTAATGAATATATAACAAGCATATAAATGTATTTTAAAACATATTTTTGATTATTTAAAAAAAAAAAAAAACCGACCCCATGCCCTCCTCCAATAATCACGAAGGGTTTTAATTACCTTCCTAAAAAGTCATCCTTGTCTGGGTCTTCATCAAAGAGCTCAATCTCTAATTCTTGTCCAGGATGTTCATACACTAAAGCCTAAAACATCAATGGTGAGTAGTTAAGCGCATTTTTACTAATAGAGTCATACACGGAGTATGATGACTGATGACTGTGGTAAATATGACCATGTACTTTTCTCTCGTGGTAAATCCTTATTTATTTATTTATTTTTGGAGATGGAGTGTCGCTCTGTCGCCCAGGCTGGAGTGCAGTGGCACAATCTCGGCACACTGCAACCTCCGCCTCCCGGGTTCAAGCGATTCTCCTGCCTCAGCCTCCCGAGCAGCTGGGATTACAGCATGTGCCACCACAACCAGCTTATTTTTGTACTTTTAGTAGAGACAGGGTTTCACCATGTTGGCCAGGCTGGTCTCGAACTCGTGACCTTCAATGATCCACCCACCTCGGCCTCCCAAAGTGTTGGGATTACCAGTGTGAGCCACTGCACCCAGCCAGTAAATTCTTTTTAGAACACTTATTTTTTTATTGTCAAGTCACACACACCTCTTGATGCGGGAGGTCACTGAAACACCTGCCACACAGTAACAGTCTACTATGCTTGTTTCTAGGGATCCCGGACCGTGTCTACTGCGCTTGTTTCTAGGGATCCCGGACCGTGTCTACTGCGCTTGTTTCTAGGGATCCCGGACTGTGTCTACAGCGCTTGTTTCTAGGGATCCCGGACTGTGTCTCAATAGGTCAAGTTCAATCACTCCAAAACAAGGTCATGGTATGTCACCACAAGCTTGGTGCAAGGCAAGAGACAGACCAAAGATCCAGGACACATCGCTCTAGTCCTGAAGTGGCTCCACTCAGATGCTATCTTGGAATAACCACAAGTTGTCTGCTTAGCACCACTCAGGGTAAGAAACTGGCAAGAGACCAGACTAACAAAGGAGTCAGGGAGAGGAAACCAGTGGAGTATAAACCGTACAACTGTCCTGAAGGGCAATTCTACAGATGTATCAGTCCTTTAAAAACTGGTGAAGTGTAAATCACGCGACTATCCTGAAGGGTAATTCTACAGATATTTCAGTCCTTTAAAAATGCATAACTCTTGATCCAGCAATTTCACTTTAAAGAGCTTTTATCTGGGGAAAACTTGGCTGAGTGAAGAAAGAGACACTCACATTCTACTTGTACAGCACTGTTTGTAATGCCGACCTGAATGCCCTAGGCCTCTCTGGGTAAACAGATGAAGGTGTCTATTCAACGGAATGGTTATTAAAAATCATGTAGATCTCTATTCATTGACATGTGAAGATGTCCTAATTTTTAAAAAAACTTGCAAGGAGGTATATAACTAACCTCATTTTTGTGTTTACTGCATTAATAACTGCACATAACATTTTATACTTAGAAAGACAAGCTACTCACGTTATGAAAAATATTTTGCTGATCATTTAGTATGATAGCATTACATAATTAAGGTTTAAAACATTACCTGTTGACATGACAAGAATGTTGTGTAGTAGGGAGAGAAGGTACGACACTTTTTAAATTTGAGAAATTAAACAAGGAACATTGAAATGATGGCCTAAATTAGCCACAGTCCCACATGACCATGCTGGAATGAGATCTTGGCCACCCCGCTCAGGGCTCAGCCCACCGCCCCAGCGACACAGCGGACACGACACCCTACCTCATAGACTTCATTCCACTTTGGACTGAGGTTCTCCTTGATGACTTTGCTTTGGAAGATTTGGTTGCCAACTCTAATGATTCCATAGGGGTCTGACTTTCCTTTGACAAGTCCCTTAAGGTAAGTGTCTTTCCCCTGAAGGTCCTGAGCTTCAATAAAATGTATCCTTAGAACACCCTGAAAAGAAGAACAAACTGAAGTTTAGACCCTTGGCTGGCTCGTTTAACTGGCGTGGAAGATAGCTACGTGTCTGGCTCTGTCTCAAGAACTGGGCATGCAGAGGGAACAAAGACCCTCCTCTGGTGCCGATTACGTCCCAGCAGCAGGGAAACGCGGTAAGCATGTACAGGAGAAGCAGGTGCTGAGAAAAACAAGAGCAGGGCAAGGCAGCAGTGCCCGGGTGGGGCTGGCTCAGAGGAGAACAGAGGGGCTTCTGGAGTGATGACCCCTCCACAGAGACATGAGGACGGGCAGCCCCACGCGGCGCTCCTGGCAGAGGGATGCCGAGTGCAGAGGACTCAGCACAGCACTGTGCTTATCTCAAGGAGGCTGGTGACACAGGCCACCAAGCTGTACTAGATCCTGGTGCTACAGTGAGTAATAACATGAGAGGTTGTATCAGACCTGTCACTAAGACATGCAGTAACTATGCTGTTCCATTTTTAGAATAATCCTATGAAATAGTGTCATTAAACTTATTTTAGAGAGAAGAAAACTGCAACTTTGAAATATGTATTATTCATAGACTTCAAACATACTCTTGGCCAGACGCGGTGGCTCACGCCTGTAATCCCAACACTTTGGAAGACTGAGGTGGGCAGATCACTTGAGGCCAAGAGTTCAAGACCAGCCTGGCCAACATGGCAAAACCCCATCTCTACTAAAAATACAAAAAATTTAGCCAGGCATCGTGGCACATGTCTGTAGTCCTAGTTACTCAGGAGGCTGGGCTGTAAGAATCACTTGAACCCAGGAGGCAGAGCTTGCAGTGAGCTGAGATGGCGCCACTGCACTCCAGCCTGAGCGACAGAGCAAGACCCTGTCTCAAAATAAACAAACAAACAAACATAGTCTTTTCCCTAAAATACTGTTTTATTGATAAAAGAATAAAAAATTCCCTCTTATTTCTTCCAAGGCAAACAAAGATGTTCAAGTCACCTTTTGGTAGGAAGCATTCTGCCCCTACAGATCCTTTTATAAAATTACAGAGTGATGGCCGGGCGCGGGGCGCGGGGACTCACGCCTGTAAGACCAGCACTTTGGGAGGCCAAGGCGGGTGGATCATGAGGTCAGGAGATCAAGACCATCCTGGCGAGCACAGTGAAACCCCGTCTCTACTAAAAAACAAAAATTAGCCAGGCATGGTGGTGGGCGCCTGTAGTCCCAGCTACTCGGGAGGCTGAGGTGGGAGAATGGTGCGAACCCGGGAGGCAGAGCTTGCAGTGAGCCGAGACTGCGCCACTGAACTCCAGTCTGGGTAACAGAGCAAGACTCTGTCTCAAAAAAAAAAAATAAATAAATAAATAAATTACAGAGTGATATTCCTCATTCAATCAGCACAGGAATACATGTCCCTCCACAGAGGAACACGCTTCAAAAACTCGAAGCAGCTCTTGTTTATATTTTCATACGTCTAAAGCTGGGATAATCTGGCCACATCTATTGAGGGCACTGGCTGTTAAGCCCATGTAGCTAAGGGCAGCCAGATCCAGGCACGCTCAGGTGCTCACCTGTACTCAGAGCATGAGAGACTTAGGTGCAGAGGAGCACGAGGATTTCTACATGTAAAGGGATTCCTACATTTCCAGAGGTGAGAGTCAGAAGTTAAGGAAAAAAGACATTCTTTTCTAATATACAGCATCACATTAAAGCTGTTGAATGCCAATGATATAACCAATTTGAGCACCAAATTAACTGGCATATTGTTACTTTTAAAAAATATAAGGATGCCTCTGCGTGTCTGTTAACTTGTGCACCATTATTTAGATCTAATTAAACCAGAAAAAGTAAAAAGGCATCAGGAGAAAGCGATCTGCTTCTACTTCAGCGAACAACAACAAAAAAAACAATATACCCACTGAAACAAGACCAACTTACCACATCCTGTTTCAGTAAAAATAAATAACGTGGTGTGCACTGCTTACTACAGACACCACCACGATGGTAATGCTCACTTGGCTTCTGGAGTCCAAAGTCCAGGTAGACTAAATAGACACGGGATCCAACACCTGAGTGACTGAAAAGCTCTCCTTAGCCCATGAGAGATCCTTCACTCCACCCACCCCTTCCACAGTCAGCAGAAGGAATCTCATGTTCTTGACTACCTTGCAGTTATTTATTTCGTTTGCTCAAATGAAGGTGACATCAGTATCTGCAACCAGCTCTGTGTGTGGTTGCTGTCCCATTTTACAGACAATGAAACTGTGGCCCAGCTACGCCAAGTAATGTGCCCACAAAAGCAAAGCTACAGCTAAACTCAGGAGCTGCGACAAAAATCTAGTTCTGTTCTTTCCATTTTATCCAGGTCAGCTGTTATATCAGAGCTGCTTCTACCAGGTTACTCATTAAATGGCTTCAGAGGCAACGGAATTCTAACAGCTGAGAGAAAATATACGAATTATTATAGGAAGCTCTCATCATGACTGCCAGGAACACTGGTGCCTGTCCATTTTAATAAAAGGGCTGTCCATTTTAATAAGAACAAATGCAGTATGTGCGTCTGAGGTAACTAAGATGTCTGTGCCATGTACCTCTGCAGATTTAAATCTCTACCGGCCCCTCTGAGGAACACAGCTCTGGGGGAGAACCATCCTGCTGTCTCTGCGATGAGCTTCAGGGTCAGCGCCCATCAGTCAAGTCTCTTAAGGAGAGTGGCGGACGAGCAACAGTCAAGGCATCAAGACCCATGTGGCAAGCTGGCCGCTGGAGACACAAAGAGTCACGGCACCCAATGCCACACCCACAGGCAGCCAAGATCTGTCTTTCAATGTGAGTGGATGCCAGGACACGCTTACCTTTGGTACAGGAAACCGCAACTGAGCTATTTGAACTTCACTGACAAGTGGAACGGTGATTCGATTGGGAAGCACCAGATAATTTGATATCATATCCGAAATGATAGTATCTGATAAACCACTGTTCGTTGGGAGACAAAAAGAGCAAAAGGACCATCAGACATGCGAACACTTCTCTCAACACCGACAACAGACTTACCACGAATATGATGTAATGTCCCACTTATTTACAGAGTAGGAGTTATCTCATTTCTCCTGTGCAGTATTTACAACCCTCATTTCAATACTTTAGCTGTGATACTACTATGGAGACTATGATACAGAATTTATTTGTAGAACACAAGGTAAAATTCTAGTTATTGCACAAGTAATTGTGGTTTTTGCAAATAAAATGGCAAAAACCACAAATACTTTTGCACCAACCTAATACACTTCATAATTTCCTAAACAACATTTAATGTATTCCTACTTCATCACAGATTGTATACTTATTTACTAAAATACACTTCATTGACTTTTTTAACATAAAATATTTCAAACATACATATATAAGTACAGAGAATAACATTCACTGGCCCATTCTTGTTTATACACACACCCCATTTCTCCATTGTTGTATACTCGCCCCCATTGAAGGAGAACTTACTTTGTTCTCCCTTATCCATTATCCAACACTTTGAGTATTGAACACATTAATAATTTTGAAATACATCACTGCACAGCAAACTAAGTAAAGTGAATACAATTGCTTAGGCTAAAGGAAAAAATATACTTGCTTTTTTTTTGAAACAGAGTTTTGCTCTTGTTGCCCAGGCTGGAGTACAATGGCATGATCTCAGCTCACTGCAACCTCCAGCTCCCGGGTTTAAGCAATTCTTCTGCCTCAGCCTCCCAAGTAGCTGGGATTACAGGCACGTGCCACCATGACTGGCTAATTTTGTATTTTTAGTAGAGACAGGGTTCACCATGTTGGCCAGGTTGGTCTCGAACTCTTGACCTCAGGTGAACCACCCACGTTGGCCTCCCAAAGTGCTGGGATTACAGGCGTGAGCCACCATGCCTGGTCAAAGATGTACTTTTAATATATCTTTTTTGGCCGGGCATGGTGCCTCACGCCTGTAATCCCAACACTTTGGGGAGGCGAAGGTGGGAGGATCGCTTGAGCCCAGGAGCTGGAGACTAGCCTGGGCAACACAGAGCGAGACCCCCTCATCTCTACTTAAACAAACAAACAAACATATATGTATCCTATTCTCTAGGGTAACCGTGAGAATTAAATAATGCGTATGTGGCAGCACTTTTAAAAACATTTATAAACGTAAGTTTCATTGCTGTATAACACCTTTACCTGAACTGTGAAGTTGCAAAAGTACTTTGCTTCTCGCCAGTAAAGTTTTAGATGCTAAAATTATTAACATAAATAATTACAAACAAAAATAACCACTGAGACAGTGATAATCATGAACGTTCAGCAAATAAAGTCCAAGCACCCACTGCAGGACAGTATCCACATGTGATGACCCAGCACCTCAAGGACTTTTCAGTTTAATATGGAAAAAAAACTTGAAAAGCCCCCAAAAGAAAAACCGTATATAACACTACTCTACTTACGAACAGGTCAGTTATTCAGACAGTTAATACTCCCACAGAGATTCGGAGGGCTTCAGCCAGCAGACGCAGGCTGTGTGTTCACCATGCAGGGGCAGGACCCACCCACCTTTCTCCCACACAGACTCCCAGCCTCGGAGGCCACAGCAGCTGACAGAGCTCCCTGGGGGGGGCCCTCGCTGTGCCTCCTCACCCCATCACGCCCCGCACGGCCCTGAACTGTCGGGGTGTGGATGCTGCTCCGCTAGGTCTCCACAGAAGCGTCTCCTGTAGTGGTTACTTTCTTGGGAGTCACTATTTCCCTGTGTGTCCTTCGGAACCACGACTGCTCATCGCCTGTATTTTGTTTCCACCATAATCTTCGCCCTTCTCACGCCTTCAACACTCAGCTCAGAGCCGCTTATCAAAACACAGCAGATATTTAACAGGGATAGCCCAAAGACATGGTGCAGTGAAGGAATTCAGGCATTATTCTTACACTACAACGTCTGGGGTTTCTTTTTATAATCAATTAATATAGCATGTGGATGCTCATTTTATAAAGATTGGTACAATATTTCATTATGTTAAGTTCATATTTATTTTAAAAATGTCTTTCTTTTTTGAGACAGAGTCTCACTCTGTTGCCCAGGCTGGAGTGCAATGGCGTGATATTGGTTCATTGCAACCTCCACCTCCCGAGTAGCTGGGATTACAGGCGTGTGCCCACGCTCAGCTAATTTTTGTATTTTTATTAGAGATGGGACTTCACCATGTTGGCTAGGCTGGTTTCAAACTCCCGACCTCAGGCGATCCACCTGCCTCAGCCTCCCAAAGTGCTGGGATTACAGGTGTGAGTCACTGCATTTGGTCTCATAGTTATTTAATATTCACTTTTATAACCTAAGAGTTGCTATAGCTGTGACTTATTTGATAGACTCAGTGAGAACTAGTAGCCCCAATTTTACATACATACCTATTAAATTTCAGTACATAACATTTATGTAAACATAATTGTATTATATAAAATCTACATAATTGTGTATAAATTATGTATATCTATATATATAAACTCAGAAGAGATATTTTTACATCTCCCTTTTATACAGCAGCCTATTTTTTGAATGGTGTATGTGTATTTATCTGTTATATAAGGATATATTTTTAATGACATAATTCTATATATAGGAGTATATTTTTGTATTACATATATAAAATTTACATAAAAGACAAGAGGAGCTGGGTGCAGTGGTTCATTGTATTACATATATAAAATCTACATAGAAGACGAGAAGCTGGGTGCAGTGGTTCATTATATTACATATATAAAATCTACAAAGAAGAGAGAGAAACGGGAGCAGTGGTTCAAGTCTATAGTTCCGCTACTTGGGAGGCTGAGGCAGGAAGAGCCCTTGAGCCCAGGGGGTTGAGGCCAGTCTGAGAAGCATAATGAGATCTCTCTCTAAAAAAATGAAAAATAAAAATAAAATTGCTAGAAATGACTACTGTATAAAAAGAGCCAACATATAGGCCGGGCGCGGTGGCTCAAGCCTGTAATCCCAGCACTTTGGGAGGCCGAGACGGGCGGATTACGAGGTCAGGAGATCGAGACCATCCTGGCTAACACGGTGAAACCCCGTCTCTACTAAAAAACACACAAAAAAAACTAGCCAGGCGAGGTGGCGGGCGCCTGTAGTCCCAGCTACTCCGGAGGCTGAGGCAGGAGAATGGCGTGAACCTGGGAGGCGGAGCTTGCAGTGAGCTGAGATCCGGCCACTGCACTCCAGCCTGGGTGACAGAGTGAGACTCTGTCTCAAAAAAAAAAAAAAAAAGCCAACATATAAATTATTAAATAGAATGAGCTATACATGTATGTATCTCTGTATTTACGTGTGTATGTGTGAATGACTTTTAAATAAAATGAATCAGGGATCAACTTCCCCAAACTGCAGGCTTGCCGAGGCAGAAGACATTCTTCGACTTTGCCCTTTCAGGTTGCCAGTATTAATACAACGCTATTTACAGAGTAGATGCTCAATAATGCTGTTTTATTTCAGTACTCCTGTGATACTGAAGGGAGGCAAAATCAAATACTTTTTTCTACACTGATGTGTGTGAATGTTTGTTCCATTTGGCTAAACAGTATCTACTCCCCCTACTTCTAGTGAAAGTTTTTGCTTTGGGGGATACCCCCATTCACTGGAGTTTTTTCACACAAGTTATCCATTTCTTTGCCTTCTGTAGGAATGTCCTGGAGATTGAAACCTGATCGTCGGGAGTCGCAGGAATCTGTCCAAGGGTGGTCTTTGCACACACAAGTCAGGCCAGGACCTAGGGGGAAAGGCGACTAAATCCGCAGACTAAAGGCTTATAGCTGCAGGCACAGCAAGAGCCTGCCTGAAAACCAGCCCACGAGGGACACGCCCACTCTACATGGGTCAGGAACTGGAGAGAGAGCCCTTACGGTGCCAACACGGCTCCATCTGAAACCCCTCAGAGGACACGTCAGCACTCCAGCTGCTGAGCAGGAAACAAGCACAGGCGTGTCCCATGCACGAGCAGCTGCGACCAGCTCAGAGCAGGCAGTGGGCGCCCATTGTTGGAAGACTGAATAAACTGCTTTTTGAAAATATTATTTACTGGCCAGGCGCGGTGGCTCATGCCTGTAATCCCAGCACTTTGAGAGGCCAAGGCGGGCGGATCACCTGAGGTCAGGAGTTCAAGACCAGCCTCACCAACATGGCAAAACCCCATTTCTACTAAAAAAATACAAAAATTAGCCGGGTGTGGCAGCATGCGCCTGTAATCCCAGCTACTTGGGAGGCTGAGGCAGGGAGAATTGCTTGAACCCAGGAGACGGAGGGTGCAGTGAGCTGAGATAGCAACACTGCACTCCAGCCTGGGCAACAGAGATTCCATCTCAGAAAAAAAAAAAAAAAAAAGGAAAGAAAAGAAACTTACTTATTTACCTACTTAAGACCACTTGAGTCAGGTTTGTTGCTTGCAACCAGAATCTTAATGAACTCTTTAACCAATCTTTTAAAGTCGTGCTTTCTTTCCGCAGATCTTTTAAAGATCACAGCAATTTTCTGTATCCAGTAAACTACAGCACCTAAAAAGGACTTTTATTATGACTGTGCTTCAGATAATTAAAGTCCTAATTTTTCCCTAATAATGAAACAAAACTCTTTAGAAAGGCCATTTCAGAGGCATAAACAAATATACGGGAATAAAAAAATAGTCTGAAACCAAGTTTCATAATTTTCTAAACTATTTTAGGAAAAACAAATCACACTAGAAAATATCCACTAGAAACATGTAACTTTAACCCAAAGGTGATGTGTTTTAACTTTCAAAAAAACCGGTAAAGTCAGCAAAAGCATTTAGAGGCTGTAATTTCAAAACTTCCTATTTGGGGGTGACCAACAGGTCTGCCATCCACAGCCCCATGCACTGTTTCAGGTAACGGGACCATGGTAACTAGAATGACTCTGTGTCTCTGAGCAGGGATGCACTCTCCAGGGCCTCAGATGCTTGTTACGCAACGTTTTTCTCCTGTTTTAGACACTAGATCGCTGTGTAATAATGAAAGGACTCCCAGCGAAATGATATGGAACTTCAAGTTCCTCACCTCTCACACTGAAGAGTACTGGCAAAGTCCACACTGTCCCCAACCACTTTCAAAAAGGAATGGAATAAAGGTTTAAAAAAAAAATGCGGAAAGGGTGGGGTAGCCATAGGCTGGAGAGACCCTGGAAAGCATTTCCTTTTAAAGTTTCCTTTATTGTTTCTGAGAAGATAAAAAAAAAAACAAAAAAAACAAATTGGCAAACTGGTTTACAAAATATTAAAAGGCCTCTACTTTTCTAAAATGCCAAGGCCAGCAAGACACCTTGTGGTGAACAAAAGCAAATGAAGACTGAGTGCTCAGCTGGCACTCCAGAGCCCTCCTGCCCTGGCCCATCACTTCCCAGCAGCTCCCTATGGGCAGAAGGAAGCCCCTGTGCCTCTGCTTGTTTCCACGACGGCCTGTGGAGAAGGCACCCATTCACCTGGCAGACGCAGGTCTTAACCATTCTCACACTATTGTCAAGACATCAAAAATGCACAACACGCCCTCGAATGCTAAGCCTTGGGGACCAGACATGAGACTTACTTCAATCCAGGGATATCCAGAAGATTCGTCAGTCCTGTCCAGTTAATTTCTAAAAGCTGTTTTAAAACAAGGGCAAAATATTAAGTTCCAAACAATTTCCAATTATCAAATCAGGTGCACACAGACTTGTTTCTTTATAGACAAAATGTGTTAGTACACAACACAGACTCACACACTTCATCCTTCGTAATATATCAAGGACACCTTTCTTTGGTAGTACGTGGAGACCTGCCTCTTTTTGTTTTTTGATAATGTCACAGTTTTTGCTAGTAAAATCGTAAAATAATTTATTTACCCACTCTCCTGTGGATGGACACTTAGAATTTTGACAGTTTCTCTTTATTGTAATTACAAATAATGATTCAGGGAATGCCTTTTTACATACATGTTCTTGTATACATATATAGACTAGCATTCCAAAAGTCAGATTTTGGGGTCAAAGGCTTATATTCACTTTTTTTTTTTTTTTTTTTTGAGACGGAGTCTCGCTCTGTCACCCAGGCTGGAGTGCGGTGGCCGGATCTCAGCTCACTGCAAGCTCCGCCTCCCGGGTTCACGCCATTCTCCTGCCTCAGCCTCCCGAGTAGCTGGGACTACAGGCGCCCGCCACCTCGCCCGGCTAGTTTTTTGTATTTTTAGTAGAGACGGGGTTTCACCGTGTTAACCAGGATGGTCTCGATCTCCTGACCTTGTGATCCGCCCGTCTCGGCCTCCCAAAGTGCTGGGATTACAGGCGTGAGCCACCGCGCCCGGCCTATATTCACTTTTAATGTCAATAGATAGTACCTACCTGCCCTCCAAAAATACTGTACCCATTTACATTCCCACCCAAAGTGTATGAAAATGTCCTTTTCACATACCTCACCAAAAATAATACTAAAACCCAGCCTATCTGGCAGTTAAATAACGGACTTTATCATTGTTTTACTCTGTATTTTCCAATTAGCAGACCGTGCTCTACCCATTCATTCAACATCTGTGTTTATCTTAGAATAATTCCCATACAGTTAACTAACATTCCATTAAGTAGATGTTGGTTGGTAAAAACTATTGATTAGAAATACTGCTTTTCCTATTATGTTCCTTTAACAGCACATAATAAAATTACTTGTGCTCCATATTTGTAGAAGAAATTCTAAGTAAAATTGCATGATCTCAGTCATGCATATAGCTGAGTAACAAAACTGCTTGAATCCCTTTTTGCTTGCAAGCAAATATAAAGTGGAAGAGTCAAGATTCTTACAGATAGAACTAAAAAAAAAAAAAACCAAAAATTTTTAAGACCCTGAAAGGCTAAGATTTCTCAGTGTAACAGAAATGAGATATAAATACAAAAATTAGGGAGGAAAAAATAGGCAACTAATCTTCAAACTGGACTGCAAACATCAGTATCAACCTATGCTTTACTTCCCCCTTAAAATAAATGTTTTTCCCTAGTCCACCCATTGAACCACCTGGCTAAACCTCTACATCTAAATCATATGAATATATTTATAAACATTGACTGAAGAGCTCATTTTCCTTTCTCATTTCTCTCACAGAACTTAAAAAGGAACAGGTACTCCCTGCCACAACAAAATATTCTGGTCATACAAAAATACCTGTTATGAGGAAACTAAGATTTAAGAGGGCATCGTAACAGGATTCTATCATTTAGTTCTGAAGGTTGTTACTCCTGATCACAAATCTACTTCAGGAAATAAGAACATATCAAAGATGCAGCACAGAATCTTGCACTCGACTCAGGTTCAAATGCAAGCACCTTGCACAGCGCACCATCAGAGGATCCCCAATGGTGACTGTTCCATCCGCAGAGCCAAGAGACACAGGAGCCACGTGAACTTCAAGAAAGGGCGGCTGTGTCAAGGAAAGCGGCAGGTAAGCATCTAAATAAAATCAGATGAGGCCATTGTGGTTAAAAGAACAGTAAAGAGAATACAATTCAAAGATGCTATTTAATAAAGAAATAAAGAATTTTTCCTACACAGCCATGCCTCGGCGATATCGTGGGCTGGGTTCTAGAGCAGTGCAGTAAAGGGAATATTGCAACATGTGAGTCACACACATTTTTTGGTTTCCCAAGGCATACAAAAGTTATGTTTAAACTATAGTCTATTAAGTGTGCAATAGCATTATATCTTTTAAAAAATGTACATACCTTTATTTTAAAACACTTTATTGCTAAAAAATGCTTACAATCACCTAAGCCTTCAGCGTGTCACAATCTGGCTGGTAGAGGGTTTTGCCTCAGTTTTGATGGTTGCTGACTGACTAGGATGGTGGTTGCTGAAGGTTAGGGTGATTGTGACAACGTCTTAAAATAAGACAACAGTGAAGTTTGCTGCACTGACTGACTCTTCCTTTCAAAAAAGATTTCTCTGTAGCATGCCATGCTGTTTGACAGCATTTTACCCACAGTAGAACATCTTTCAAAATCGGAGTCATCCTCTCAAACTCTGCTACTCCTTTATCGGCTAAATTTATGTGATATTCTAAATTGCTTATTGTCATTTCAACAATGTTTGCAGCATCTTCACCAGGAGTAGATTCCATCTCAGGAAACCACTTTCTTTGTTAGTCATAAGAAGCAATTTCTCATCCTTAAACTTTGATCCTGAGACTGCAGCAATTCAGTCCCCTCTTCAGGCTCCACTTCTAACTACAGTTCTCTCGCTGTTTCCATTCCACCTGCACCTCCTTCTTCCACTGAAGTCCTGAACCCCTCAAAGTCATCCATGAGAGCTGGAATCAACTTCTTCCAAACTCCTGTTAATGTTCGTATTTTGTCTCTTCTCACGAATCACTGGTGTTTTCAATGGGATCTAGGATGGTGAATCCTTTCCAGGAGGTTTTCGACTTACTTTGCCCAGATCCATCAGAGGAATCACTGTCTGTGGCAGCTATCGTCTCACAAAATGTAATTCTTAAATAATAAGACTTGAAAGTTGAAATTTCTCCTTGATCCCTGGGCCAGAGAATGGAGGAGGTGTCAGCAGGCAAGAAAACAGCCTTCAACTCCTTGTGCACCCGCATCAGAGCTCCTGGGTGATCAGGTGCACTGCTGATGAGCAGTTATGTTTTGAGGGACTCTTTTTTTTCTGAGCAGCAGGTCTCAACACTGGGCTTAAAATACTTGGTAAACCAGCGTGTAAAAAGGTGTGCTGTCATCCAGGCTTTGTTCTTCCAGGTATAGAGCACAGGCAGCATAGATTCAGCATGATTCTTTTTTTTTTTTTTTTTTTTTTTGAGACGGAGTCTCACGCTGTTGCCCAGGCTGGAGTGCAGTGGCGCGATCTCGGCTCACTGCAAGCTCCGCCTCCTGGGTTCACGCCATTCTCCTGCCTCAGCCTCCTGAGTAGCTGGGACTACAGGCGCCCGCCACCGCGCCCGGCTAATTTTTTGTATTTTTAGTAGAGACGGGGTTTCACTGTGGTCTCGATCTCCTGACCTTGTGATCCGCCCGCCTCGGCCTCCCAAAGTGCTGGGATTACAGGCTTGAGCCACCGCGCCCGGCCGATTCAGCATGATTCTTAAGGGCCCCAGGCTTTTCAGAATGGAAAATGAGTGCTTACTTCAACTTAAAGTCACCACCTGCATTAGCTGTGACAACAGTCAGCTTGTCCTTTGAAGCCTTGAAGTCAGGCACTGACCTCTCCTCTCTAGCTGGGAAAGTTCCAGATGGCATCTTCTTCCGGCAGAAGGATGTTTAATACACATTCAAAATCTGTTGTTTAGTGGAGCCACCTTCATCAATGATCTTAGCTAGATCTTCTAGACAACTTGCTACTTTACCTTGCACTTTTATGTTACGGAGATGGCTTCATTCCTTGAACCTCACCAACCTCTTCAAACTTTTCTTCTGCAACTTCCTCACCTCTGTCAGTCTTCATCGAAGTGAAGATAGTTAGGACTTCGCTGTGGAATAGGCTCTGGCTTAAGGAAATATAATGTCTGGGCTGATCATCTCTCCAGGCACTAAAACTTTCTCCCTATCAGCAAGAAGGCTATTTCTCTATCATTGGTGTGTTCACTGGAGCAGCACTTTTCTCTTCCTTCAAGAACTTTTCCTTTGCATTTACAATTCGGCTGTTTGGCACAAGAGGCTTAGCTTTCAGCCTGTGCTGGCTTTCAACATGGCCTCTTCACTAAGCTTCATCATTTTTAGCTTCGTTTCTTTCTTTTTTTTTGTTTGAGACAGAGTCTTGCTCTGTTGCCCAGGCTGGAGTGCATTGGTGCCATCTTGGCTCACTACAACCTCTGCCTCCCAGGGTCAAGTGATTATCCTGCTTCAGCCTCCCAAGTAGCTGGGACTACAGGCATACGCTGCCACGCCCAGCTAATTTTTTTTTTTTTTTTTTAAGTAGAGACAGCTTTTCCCATGTTGACCAGGCTGGTCTTGAACTCCTGACCTCAGGTGATCCACCCAGCTTCTGATTGAAAGTGAGAGGTGTGCAACTGTCTTTCACTTGAATACATAAAGGCCACCGCAGGGTTGTTAACTGGTCTAACTTCAATATTGTTGTGTCTCAGGGAATAGGGAGATCCAGGAGAGGGAGAGATAGGAGAACAGTCGGTCAGTGGAGCAGTCAGAAGATACAACATTTACCAGTTCACTTGGCTGTTTGATATGGTTTGGCTCTGTGTCCCTACCCAAATCTCATGTCGAACTGTAATCTCCACGTGCCGAGGGAGGTACTTGGTAGGAGGTGATTGGCATGGGCAGTTTCTCCCACACAATTCTCATGATAGTGAGGGAGTACTCACGAGTTCTGATAGTTCTACAAGTGGCTGTTTCTACTGCACACTCTCTCTCTCCTGCCACCATGTCAGATGTGCCTCACTTCCCCTAAGTTTCCTGAGGCCTCCCCAGCCATGCAGAACCTCAAGTCAATTGACCCTCCTTTCTTTATAAATTGCCCGATCTCAGGTAGTATCTTTACAGCAGTGTGAGAATGGACTAATCCGCCCTCTTACACGGACGTGGTTTGTGATGCCCCCAAAATAATTACATTAGAAACGACGGCCGGGCGCGGTGGCTCAAGCCTGTAATCCCAGC